GTTATGTAGCGGTGATAGCGAACTAACCGTGTGGTTGCAAAATCGTCAGCCAGGCGACAGTGAGTCAGCGTCCTGCAGAGTGTTCTTCTGCTGTCTGTCTCCTCCTGGTGTCTGGGGTTGGCAGCTGTAACAAACTTTTAAAAATTAGATTGGATGGATGAAATTTATTACAAAATATTCCCTTTGATGCTGTCTGTGACTGCCTCACTCCGTGCCTAAAAATGACCCAACATTAGTTGGCTTTAATCCCTTAGTTCCCCATGACACCATCGGAAATTAAGAATTTCTGCATTAAATACGTACTGTTCTTGATTCAGCCTAAAAAGAACCGGCAACAGCAGCTGCAAAAAATTACAAAAAAAGAAGAAAAAAAACTAGGTCAAAAGAAAGAATTGACGTAACGCCACCCTGTCAAACTACACTAAACACTGTTTTACCTCCAGGACACGTATAGAAGATATATGGCTGTCTGTGGGCCTGGTTGTAGAGACATAAATAAAAGGGTCCAAACATAAATCATTGCTTTAAACTCAGCTGGTGTTATGGGTGGAAGTGACCCACTGTGTGATGGCTGCCAACTTTTGAATTTACATACAAACACAAAGAGACATGTGACCATTACCAAAGGAGGGGATCCTAGTGCACCAGCATTTTGAATATTTAAGTTCCAGTCAGACCTATTCGAAAATGTCCAATACCCAAAAAATTAACTTAATCTAATTTGTTTGACTGGTGTCGGTACTGTTTTGTTGCTTTTGAAGGCTGACTGTATTGTTATTGACAGAGAGCGTGTTACATATGAGGCGCTTCTGGTGCAACGATGGCAGAGGAAGCACAGAGCTGTCTGGTAATCGTTAGTCATCCATTAACACTTCAGATTAGAAAAGAATTTACCCACCCTGCGTTGAAACACAATCCAAACTGGGTTAACTGCTTCTATTTGTATTTGGTGCCGTTATGTAGCACCTTGTTGAGATGAAATGAGGCCAACAACAAACCCAAAAAGACTTCCAGTTCAATTCCACCCCCTTCCGCACGCACTCTCAACACCTCCACTGTGCCTACACCTACAATACAGACAGTGTCAACTGGACTGAAATGCAAAGCCAAAACAAAAAAACAGAGCAATAAAAATCCACTGTGCTGAATTGAACTGAGAACTACATGAATAGCCTGAGACACCTTGGGGGAATTCCATGTGGTTTTAGACGTGGTTTGCGACTTTGCTCTACATATAGCGCTAATAAAAGAAGCATTGAATAAAATGATATTGATCCAAGTTTTACAGCAATATGTCCTTGGGTGGACTCTTGGCTTCTGTGAGTTGTGTCTGACTTGGTGTTGCTGCGCTCCGCAGTCAGACAGACTGGAAAATCTCACTCCATATTCACACTATTCACAGAAATGTGATTTTTTTTTTCAGCGTCTCAGCCAAGCAGACAGTTCGTAAGTTTGAAAGCTTGGCCGGGGACAAAATTCTAGTCGACCGCCTACTAGATTTTTTTTTAATTAACTGATATTTTGATCCAATTATGTTTCATAAGCTCTAGTTTTGGCAAGTGCTAAATGCTCATGAATTACTGTTGAGGAAAAATGTTGCAGAAACAGCGCTTTGAGACGGGACTGCATCCGTACATACACAAAAAGGCTCCACATTTAAGATAAACTATCCAGCTGAAGATCTGCATTCAGCTCATCTTTGTCCTGTAGTGAACTGTCAGTCTGTTCAAAAAACACTCAGACTGTCTCCCTCTGAGCCTCGTAAAGGCTCAAGTGGAAAATGTATGAATGACATGCTGGCCAGCTTTTGTTCTATTCAACAGCACAACTCTGAAATTACACTCGAAAGATGGGGCTCAACCGAGCAGCACAATACACCTTGTTACACGCTGAGGTAAAATTCTGAGTGTGTTTTTAAAAAAAGAACTATGAAGTGATTAGGAGACCTGAAAGGACCCTAGAACCAGCAACGTGTCAGACAGACAAAAGATTGTCCAGCTTCTCTGTTTCTACAGCCTGTCGAGTTGACAAAAAATGGAGAGTAATTGCACACAATTGTCTGTGTAACAACACCCTCTGCTGTGCACTACAGACACACAGCTACAGGTTTATGTCGTGGTTCATCTTATTTTTTTCCCACATAATGCAAAACCTACACAAAGCCATGATAATTGTAACTTTTGAAATTCTTTATTTAACCTATTATTTGTGAAAAGTCCTTAAACATTTTTCTCCCACGAATGCAGGAGCTGCTGCTGCAAAAAATGATAATCAATACCACAAACATGGGACATTCATTGACCAAAAAAAACGTGGCTCACATACAAGTGACACACATGCAGTGTTTGTGCAACGGTCGATTGGCTTTGCTGTCATGCAGCTTCATTTTAACAACAACAGCATGGCCAGCAGGAGGGTGATCGCATGGAACGGATATCACGTTCCTCCTCAGGAGCTTCCAGCAGCTGAGACAAAGCTGACCTATTTGATCAGTAAACTGTGGTTGAAAATACGGTAAGGAAGCACTTTGGAATGCAACAGGTCACAAACTGGGTCCCAGCCGGAGGATTTTATCCCCCCCCAAAAAAAAAAATTTCCTATAATTAAGGATTTGGCTCTGCTCCTTTCAGGGTTTCATCTCAAAGTGCAAAAACCAGTGCGACTTGTCTTGAGATTTTCAAAGGTATGCCATTTGAATATAAAATTCATATGCGCATGTACGTTAAGAATGACAATACTGGAGAGTTTGGCAAGTTGAAAACAAAACGTGGCTTTCCACTTCTGGAAATTGGGGCAGGTGCAGGATGGTGCAAATGTTTACAGGAATGGTCCTCTAATTGGACCTTTCAGCCTTTCTGTTTCCACTGCTTAGGATCCAGCAGCTTCGACCACAATGTTAACCCCTAGCGTGCCAATACCAAACAGCATTAACTCGATATAAATCTACTTCTATGAGCATGTACAGGATAGAAGAGTGGAGCGTTTACTATTTTAGCTTAAATAGAAAATGTCACATTGTTGATGATGATGTGGGAGGGGAGAAGACATCAAGAGGGTAGGAAAACGGTGTTCGGGTAGATGAGTTCAACCCAGCAGTGTCAATACCAGCACAGCAGTGTTTCAGGGAAGATCAAGGTACCACTCCGGAGTTGGCACATCTTTCTTCCATGATAAGGGCAGTTCCTGCAGTCACACACACACACACACAAAGGTTCCAACTGACCTTAAACAGCCAGCAAGTTCCTGCCTAATGCCGGTGGAACTCAAAGACCTGAAAAGTTAGGGCCCATATTTATTAAATTGCTAAGAGGGGAAATCCAGTGATTATATATTTCTGTTTACAGGTGTTGGGAGTAGTCGTGTATTAGTGAAACATTTCTATGAAGCCTGTTGTGGCACTGCAACATATCTTAGCAGGTTGCCACGCCAGTAGGCCAGTGGTCCTGTCTGTCTCTTTACCAGCCCTCCCTATGGCCCTGTCAAGTGGGGATGATCAACCGTCATCTACCCAACCTTCATAGCCAACAAGTTCTGGAGACTACAAGTTGGAAAATAAAAAAATAAAAAATCTAGGGGGTGTTGCCTTATAAAGAAATGAGCTTATCAAACATCTGTGGCCCGCTTCTCCTCTTAGCTTAAAACTACATTAGCTGCTAACAGGGTAACTCCCTAATCTCAATAAGAAGTGTTGGTGATTGGGTTGCAACATGGGAAACTTGTTGGACTTTTAGTTATCTATCATGATTCTTCTAAGTTTCACATTTGTAGAACACTTTGGAGGTCTCTTAATCGGTTCAGTGGATCCTTTGGAGGGTTTTAGTAGCTGTAACACAACCCCAAACGTATGCCGTGGTACGAGTGTGCTATATACTATTTTTCATGATGAATATGTGAAACAATATGTAGAATGCAGATTTAGGTTTTTCTGCCATTTTCTTCCTAGTTGTTTGTGTTAGACCCGATTCTTTAGTTGGAAGCCCAAGAACAAGTTGGAAAAATCTTCAGTTCTCAGATGTAGAATTTATTTTAGGTCACAGGTAAGGTTTTGAATTCAGAGAGGAATCTCATGTCCAGCTGAACTGAGTTTTTTGGTTTCAGGTTACGGATATCTTCTTGGGCTAGGACTGCCCCGCACATGACAGTCAGAGGTTGGACTTGTACGCTACTGAGTTCAATGACTTGTGACGTGAACAGGCTAATTCCTGTGGAAGTTCACTGAAATGTAAACACAAACTGCTTGGATTGAAAACAAAGTGTGTGTGTGTGTGTGTGTGTGTGTGTGTTGTCCAAAAGGCGTGTATCTAAAGCAACAGACAGAATAGGGGAGTTTCCGTTGTTTCCCAGTTCTCACCGGCCATGTTATCTTCAAGGACGTATGCTGTTCTCAGTAGAAAAATACGAAACAGAATCATAGGCTCAGTGCAAAATACAGATTCAGAATACATAATAGCTCGAAACATAATTATAACATTTACAACATGTATATCACACCGGATGTTTTGATGCATCTCTGTTGTTGGCACTTGATATGACATCCCACATAATTATAGGTATAGGCTTCCGAATAACAGTAATTTAGTTTTCATTTGAGTCAATTTCCCATAATTTTAATCCTATTTATGTATTTGCATATGAGAAAAGTATTTCATTGTTGTATATTACTGCTGGAAATATTCTAGGAAGTGTTTATAGGACTGGATGGAGAGTAGCTGTAGCTCAAATCTGTGTTTGCAATCGATTATGTAATAACTTGAGAGTTGTTATTCATAAACTCTGCTGTAAGTAGGAAGATGTCACTTGATAAATATGTTTTTTATCTTTAATTAAATCACAAGCTGGCTTTGAATAGCTTTCCTTAAGATAACTTTTGATAGACGTGGGGCCCAGGTTTTTTTTCTTTTTAATTCTGCTCTACAAACACTGTGGAGCGTTTCATTGGAGTGAATGCGAAACAAGCTGCAGGAGTCATTACACAATAGAAAGGTGGGCACAGGCGTAAGTAGGGTAATGTTGATATTTAATAACCAGCAGTTTTTCATGCATTGCAAAATCTGTCCTGGTACAATAAATTGAAAAGTGCAGTCTGGATTAATAGCTCTGCTGCTTCATGTTTTCTTAACTGATATGATCGGCAGAGAGAGGAAATTACAAGAAAGAGCACAAAGAGGCATGTTCATCATGTTTAGTTAAACCCCTCCCCCCAGTGCCAGGATGTTTAACCACGAGGACGGGCAAGTCTCCAAACTTTTGTCAAAACCATCTGTGAATTCATGTAACTGATAACAGTTTGAACCTCAAAGAAGCGTAAAAACAAAAGAAAACAAAACACACTTTTAATGGCGCCAATGAACAGAAGACCACCTACAGTGCTCAGGTTGACAGGTTATTCTTTTCTGTGCGTGTTTTAATTGATCAAAATCCCAGCATTAAAACATCCCATAGACAGAATTCAACACGTTTGAATTCGTACATTAAACTAGGCACCATAGCACAGCACTAAGTACATCTTCCATAACACATGTTAAGCATCTACTGCTTCGTTCCCAAAAAAAGCAACTTAGCAGCAACAGGCAAAAAAAACTAAACCGGCCTGTCATAAAGAAGCACAATGTGTTCTAATTCAGCTTCTGAAATACTCACAGTGTGTCCTAAAAGAAGCAGAACAAAGCAAATCATGACAAAGAAAACATTGTTTTTGAGAACCTGTTAAATCTACTGACAGCAGAGTTTGGAGCTGAAACTGAAAAATGCAGCTTTGTGGCAAACATGGATGAACCATGTAAAAACTGTTCCATTAATGTGCATTTTAAACTGTTAAATGACATGCTAAAATATATTTAAATACACTTAAATGTTGTGTGGAGGTAAACTGAGAATCTGGAGTTGTTTTGAACTGTCTAACTTAAATCTGCTGTAATATGCTAATGTAAACAAGCTACGACAAAAAAAAAAAAAGAAAAGATAAAATATAATTGAAACGAGGCAGATTTTATCAGACATGACAAAGAGATAACTGTAGATGGCATAGATAATTTCTATAGATAACGTAGTGAAGAACATGTCTGAAAACATACTGTCTGTTGGTGCAACTTTGTCGTTTTTGACATATTTTTCTCATTTGAATTTATCTACAATAGGTAATCTGCTATAGACTTCTTTAAAAATCACATATTTTGTACACATTTTTCAGCGACATACACTCTGTAGTTGTGAGGTTTTTGGCAACATGCATGTGTGTGTGTGTGTGTGCAGGTATTTCGTTCTCATCAGTGTGTTAACTAAAATGCATAGATAATTGTGAAATACGAAGAATAAAACATTAAAAAAGAGCACCAATGTAGCCACTTTAACTCGTTCCCTGTACACGTGTATGTGCGTTTACATAACAGTGGTATGGTTCACTCCTGTGAAGTAAAACGAATGACCTACTAAAACTTTTCAAGTCTCTGTAAGTCCAGGTCACTTCAAAACGCAGAGTTTCTGCTATGCTGACCAGTACATGTGACTCCAGGAGACTGAAACATTGATGGTGTAGTGGGGTTTTCCTGTTGTTGTGAGTGAATCACTATACTGACTCATTAATGCAACACAATACTGTGAACTACTTTTAAGCCTTTTGTGATGAAGGCCACAGATAAATAAAAACAGAAAAAAACACAAATGGCTCAAAAACAAAAGCTGTTTGATTTTGAACAGAAATGTCCACAGCTTAGGAGTCCAACAAACATCCAGACTGCAGACAGATAGCAACACGCTCAATCAACATCATCGGTCCTTTTAGACTCATCGTGTGTCCATTACCAATTCATTTTCTCCTCATGTTTATTCTTTTTCACTGAAATTGCTGGAGCTTTGGTTGTCAACACGACTTCACACGCAGTCTCAGAGTGCCCCCTTGTGGTCAAATACGTGAACATCTTCTCCCAACTGAGTGCACCAACTTTGTGTGAAACCTCTGATTTATTTGTGGTTTTTTTTACCTCCCTTTCTTTTTATTTATTTTTTTTACAAGTTGATGCAGATCCCTCTGAGTCTACGCACCCATTGGTGAGACAGTGATGTCGGTGTCATGGCAGCGACCCCCAAAAATTTCCACTAACCGAGACGCAAGGGTCACAGAGCGAGGAGGCTCCTCACTGCCGCTTGCTATCCAGGATGGCCCTCCAGTCGTCCGACCAGGACAGGAGCCGTCTCTGGGAGGAGCCGACGGGCAGATGCTTGTTGTGGCAGGCAGTGAACAGGATGTGTTCCCACGTTGGTTTGGGCTCCACGCCTGATCAGGACACATGTTAGGAATAAAAATATTATGTAACGACAAACCACATGTTTTGAACTGTGTACAAGCCGGCAGATCGTGACAAACTGCACACACGCTGCGGCGGCTGCCTCAAAAAATGCAAATGAATGCTTTGAAGATGTATGTATGCAATTATAGCACCCACATAGCACTACACAAACACAATTATGCAATCTTAGAAACTTTAAAATGTCATTCATTCTTTTTACTCGTACATTATTTTAAGGGCAATTTTTATACAAATATATTCACAGCTTGATTGTGGTATGTCACTGCTTTTACTCATCACCTCATATAAGAGAACCGTTGCTATGTTTTTCCCCCCGATTCATCTGTTGTTCAACCGCAGCTCGGCAACTATAATTAGGAAAGTATTTAAATGTGAAAGTGGCATGAAAATATTTTGTCTATAAAGTCAATGCATAATTGTAATGAGTAATCATGATCTTGATATTGATCAAAATAATTGTGATTATCATTTTGGCCATAATTATGCAGCCTGGCCTGTTATTGTTCTGGATCTGCCCACGTGTCAGAGTCGTGTTCATAGGGCTGTACTGTGAGATATTCTCTGCATTGAAAGAGTTTTGAGTGTGGTGTATTATATTTGAGTTTCTACAGTGTAATAAATGGAAGCAGCAGTAAATTGTGTGCTCTTATTTACTGTGGAGCCCATCATTACCTGACTGTACAGGGCTGTACATTAAAGACAATCTCTGGTAAAAATAACATTTTTCGTCTTGGTAACATGCCCATATGGTGATTTTCTTACATACTAAAAGCACTACCATGAGCAAAATAAGCAGCCAGAAAGGTTTCACCTTGAAACCGCTGCGTACCGATGACTTTTGGTTTTAAATATATAACAAATGCAAAGAATCAAACCTGTCCATATTCTTAAGGAGGCACTGGCATAGAGCAACATTGAAGTAGTTTTGAATAGGGATGGGATTATTTTCATGGAAAAAAACTTCTAAATATGTAACTCTGACAAATGAGAGATGAGCTTTAAGGGGTTTAATTAATGAACAGGCAGAGAATATTTCCCAACTGCGTAGGAGTTGCTAACAGAGTTTAGACCAGCAGCAGTGTGTTGCTCTTTATTGGATTTGGTCAAATTTACACTTCTGGCCAACATCATCCAACATTATAAGTGTTGTGTTGGCACATCAGTTAGTACCTAAAAGTCCTTTTACTTGTGATGCCAAAAGGAAAAACATACGATTAGAAAATATGATTAAGTAAATAACAAAACTTAACTGACAGTCTAGCAACAGTAGCAATGTCCCAGACTGATCCAGGCAGTTGTTCTACAGTGTTCTCCGCTAGTGTTGCAGCACTGCTCTCTAAATTACAGCTGCTGACACATTTTGATTATTTTACTGTGTTCATAAAAGTATTTGGCCCAACGATAACTAATCAGTGTCCAAAAGATTCAGAAAGTGGCTTATATTTTCTTGAGCCAGGGCCATATGATGTGACACATGAGGTAGTCAACGGTGGCCATTTGTGGGATACATATTTAATCAACATTTAGCGAAATATAAGTATTGGATTTGATGGGATTGGGACCAAAAACAGTTGACTGGGACATCCCTATGGGATACTATTACTACTCGTTTAGCTTTAGACTGCCATAGAAGAAATATTTTAAACACCTTTCACAGGTTTCTTGCTTTAAAATGAATGACCTAGAAACATTTAAAAGTCATCCTGGGTGGTCTTTGCTACATTAATTTGCTTGCAAGCTCCTGGCATTAGTTATTTGCATCTGCAAAATCAAGGATCCATTGTAAATGCTGCTAGTGTTATCTTTGACAACTGAGCCAACAGATACGGTAAACACAGTGTGTGGGGAGTTAATAGTGGTCTGTGAGGCCAACCATTATCAGCATAAAATAATCATTAACTTTATTACAATGTAGGTTTTCACTTTGTTATGCATATCACTGAGTAAGCACATACATACAAGCATGCACAATCCTCACCTAGAATGTCAGGCTTGTCGTCTATGAGGAGGTCACCGGTGACCAATGTCTTGTCTCTGGTCAGAATGACCTGCTCCAGAAAGTCATAACCCAAATGCTTCTCCACCCAGGCGTACTGGACAAAACACACACACGCCCAGCAGATAAGAGATCATTAGTAAAATGAAGCAGCAGTCATTTGCAAGGGCAAAAGGATGCATGTCACAGATTGGCAGATGGCTCACCTTCTCGTAGGGACAGTGTCTGTAATGCTTTATAGGGCTGGTGCAAATAAAGACATCTGTGCTGCGGGAAGAAAGCGAAACAAAACAGACCAGAGTGGAAAAATTACAACAAATAACAATCGAGTTTATATTTCACCTGATAGCCACTCTGGCAACTGATATAACTGGAACTGACAGCTAGTGTAAATTAAAGACAGGTGGTGGACCTTCTCACTTAAGAAAAATGCAGGAATGAAAAATAAGAGATCACAGCAAACGGTTGACGCCCCTGATTAGAAAACAGCTTCATTCAGGGACTGATGGCTGAAGAAAGACGTTCATTTCCACCAGGAGAGGAAATGCAAACGCACTGTTCATAACCATGATTGCTATTTTTAGACCTTGTGCCACTGTGTTGTGGGCCTCTAAGAAAGCAAGCGGATGTGGTTATCACAGCCTCCTTCATGCTGACTCAGATTACACTTGAATGAAATATAATCAAAGGAGATGCTATCGCTGTAGATGACAGTTACAGGATGCTTTCTGCACACAAAGTGGATCAAAGCGTATGGCTGGTTGGAATCAAAACTCTGCTTTGTCTGATTAAGGGTTTTGAAAATGGAAACCACTGGCAACGACACAGGAGGAGATCAGAACCTGAAGCTGGGTTTATGCTCATTGTTGTCCCTTTTGTCCACAGCAGCCTGTGTCAAAGGTGATGTCATCACTGCTTGTAAGCTGTGTGTTTTGATGTCACTTCGAATGATCGTGCACATCACAGTTTTTCTAAGTTGTGTGGCTGCTGCACATGCAAAACATAGACTGGATGGATGTAGCAACCATAACATCACACATTGGTTTGTGGACTACCATTTTAAAGCCTCAAACTTGGAATCTGGTCCTTTTTTGAAATCAGATCTGAGAACTTGAGGACATTACACATGCTAATATGGTAGCAACCTGTCAATCATACAGTAACCCCGCCCTAACACACACCCTGCTTTACTGTCTATTTTACCTTCAATGGGAATATCTATACATATATAAAAAACTGGTCCTAAAATAGACCCTTGAGGAACCCCTAATGTGCAACTAGCAAATGGGGAACACTTTACTCTTGTAGATTTTTTTCTCGTATTTAATTTCATCTTGGTCAGACCTTTGACAGATACATTAAATTTCCTTTCGGTTAATCGGCTTTCTTAGTTAAAGCAGTAGAGAACTGCATTCCTACAAACTTTAGAGATCCAGGAAGCTTTGCAGTATTTCGTCAGAAGTGTGTAAAACTTGCAGCTAAAAACTGCCACCGTGCCGACACTAAGCCAGGTAAATCTGGAAAGTAATCTTTTTCCTCCTCTGACTTGGTGAAAGCAGACGATTGTAAAAACATTGTCATGTCATTAACTAACAGGTGTTCGCAGCACCATGACATTTTATGGTTTTCTCAAACTGAACATTTCAAAAAAAATCCACAACTTTCTCCTGCTGAAATTATTTTAATGTGCTTGGAATGAATTAAATGTTCAACACATTGATGTTTTATAGAAACAAGACACCAGACTCAAAGATGGCACGCAGTCACTTAAATAAAAATGTATTGGCAAATGAAAGTAATAAAGTTTTGCTAGCTTTGGTGGACATCCCATGATGCACTGAGTGCCTCTCCTCTACCCCCACGTCATTAACTTTGTATCTTCTCTCTCCTGTAGTTTGTGTTTTACCCACTCTACATCTTTTGATCCAGAGCTGCAAGCACATTTCTGATGTGCAGCTAATGACCCCACCAACTTGTCCAGTGATTATTGTTCTCTTGTTTGTTGTCTTTTTTTTTTTAATCAGCTATCTGTTTTCTCTACCCTTTGCCCTAACCCCAAATGGCCGAGGCAGATGGCTGCCCTCGCTGAGTCCGGTCGACATATGTTGTGAATTGGTGCTATGTAAATGTAATTGAATAGAAATATAAAGCCTTCGTCTTTGCTGGCTTGCTCGTGTGTGTGAGGATTTTCCATTTTGCAGTATTAATGTGGATGCTAGATGGCTACAATTGCAAGAAACAAGCCATAACACTTGCTTGCGTGTGCACGTGGTTTTAAAATTTATTCAACTTGAGGTTGACATAATCTGCAACTGAGCCTTTTTTGTGTAGACACACCGTAAAACTCTCAGTGACTCATTCTCAGAGGCTGGCCAAGAAACATAAACACCGATGATCACTATCGACCGACACAGTGGTGCATGTAAAAAAGTGAATCATCATGTGCAAATAAAAATAAACTGATTACACGTGAGACAGCTGGCTTTTCTGCAGCAGGTCTACAGTAAGGGAGATAACATATACAAAACGTTGGACGTATGCCAGATGTGTTACACTATCCAGGATCCCATAATGTAAGATGACTACTGTGTATACAAGCTAAAGTTCACTGGTAATAAACTATGTCAACACTGGATTTAATAGGCATTATTTATAACCTACGTTGGTTTGTGAAAAGATACTGTCTACGCCAGTTTTTGTTGTCTTGTTCTGTGAAAAACTGTAAGCAATCATAGACTGTGATAATATGAAATAAGCAACGTGAGCCGTCTTACCTTAAAACATTGTTTCTCTCTCACGTGTTCTTACAACAAATTGATCCCAAATCTGACCAGATCGCTAGATGCAAATACTTCACTATGTTCATTTTCCATCCATTACAAAAGTGATTCATGCAGCTTCTGTCCCACAAAACCGTCTGCATCATGTTTTGCTACATAAGCAACAGCCAAATCGGTTTATATGTCAGATAAATGAACTGTATCTTCAAGACTTACTCATCCATCTTGGCCATCTCCTTGACTGCCTCCACTCCTCCTGGCAGTGGCTCCAGCTCTATAAAGAAATCTTTGGACTCCCAGATACTGATGGCTTTCTCCTGGAGTCAAAACACACACACATACATACGACTTATTATCAGCAGCATACACCGGCACTCTTAGTCAAAATCTGTGTTCCTGTTTTATCGTTCCAAAATATAAAAGGAAAAAAGCCTGACGCAAAAGTTTGGGTATTGTCAGTACTTGATAACCCCTCCTCTGGAAAATTTTGGCAAACTTTCACCTATTCTTCCTGCAAAAGGCTGATAGCTTCAGTGAGATTCTGTAGCTGTTTTGCATGTGCTGCTCTTTTGAGGTCTATCTGCAGATATTAAAGGATGTTTAGGTTGTAAGTACTGAGGTAGTCTCTGGTGGATTTCAAAGTGTGCTCCGGATTATTTTCCTGTTGTAAAAAGTATGGGGGTATCATTGAAGCAAAACTATTTGCAAATGCGTGGAGAGTTGTGCGTCTGGATCTCAATTTGTGTGTCTGTAGTGACATTTGTCAATGCGTAAAAATATTTGTCAATGCATACAAAGATCTGTAAATCCATACAAAGACATTAATAGATGAAAAGTCTAAGTATTTGGCTGTAATTGCTGGAAATACAGACAAATCAAAGTTTCTTTGCCCTGAGCTCAGACTCACAGGCTTGTTCATTCTGGCTACATGCTGCTCTGCACCTCAGTCGTTATGCCGCCTGCAAGCCATCAGGTGGCGCTATCCCCCAGAGTCTTTGAGGGCACATGACATTGTCTGGTATGTAAACAAGTTAAATTTGCTGAGTTTGTGGGTCGCTGAGCAAAAACTTTCATGATGGCTTGCAGGCGGCATAACCACTGAGGTACAGAGCAGCAGAGTAGCACACAGCCAGAGTGAATGAGCCTGTGAGCCTGAGCTCCAGACACAGAAAACCTGAAGTTACAGATATGAATCTCTCACAGCAGAAGTGCATCAAAATTCATGTGTAAAAAGACAGCCAAGTGTGAGGCTCGCTTGACTTGTAACTGGTGATTTGTCTGTATTTCCAGCACTTGTAGCCAAATACTTAAACTTTTCATCTAGTAATATCTTTGTACACATTTACAGAACTTTTTTACACATTGACAAATCTCACTACAGACACACAACTCCCCATACACATTTACAAACAGTTGTGCTACAATAACACCCACATAAAAAAGCATCCTCTTCTCATCTTCATGTTTTTTTTACAGACTGCATGATGTTTGCATCTAGAATTTGCTGGTATTTCATTGGACCCATTGTTCCCTCTACAGGTGAAATGCTCTCTGTGCCACCAGCTGCAACTAAAGATCACACCATGATGGACAGTTTAAAAGGTGCTTTTTTCACGAAATTCTGCATATTTTTTTTCTGCAAACCTACCTTTGTTCATTGTAGCCAAAAACTTTTATTTACACTTCAATAGTCCACACATACTGCTTCTAAAATGTATCAGGCTTATTAGGATGTTGTTAGGATCATATATTTTTGATTCATGTTTTGATAATCTCTTATTATTCTCTTCATCTCTTATTATTATCTTAAGGCATAATCAACATAACTTGAAAACAATTGCAGCATGAGAAAACGTAGGTAGAAACAGGATTTGGTAGTTTGTGTATATCTTTCTCTGTCACAAGCAGGTATTTGCAGGATGCAGGTTGGCAGTTAAAACCATAAAGGGAGAAACTAAAGGTGCTCAACATTTGGGTGCTGAGTGGTAAGTTTCTGCACCTACGAGAAGGTGGAAGAAGGCCCAAGGACACGGAGGAACCAATCAGCTCGCTGCAACACATTCTGTGCTCATCCTCATGTAATAGTATAAGTACACTGGATCAGGGAGAGGCAGTCAGACTTCGTGCCCTGACATTAACTCTGTTGGAGCGATCTCACACATAGTTTGATTTCTGGAAGATCGGGATCGAGCTCCAACAATGTTCATTTGCAAAAGTCCAATGCTGAATTGTGTGGTGAACATGCAGCAAAGGTTTTCTTCTGACAATTCTTCCTATTGGTGCAGGCATCTCTACACAGTGTAACACTGCACCTTCACTCCAGAGTCTGATAAATATTCCTGAGAGTCTTTTGCAGTCTCAAATGAGGGTTTTGATTTGCCTTTCCAGAAATTCTACCAACAATTATCAATGAAAGTCTGAAAGTTGCGCTTGACCTCCACCACTACTATTAACTGCTTAACTACATTACAAACTAATCTAAAAGTGTTTTATTATCTTCATACAGCCTTCTCCTTATTTTGATTTTTAGAGTGCTATGCGCTGCTTAGAGGAGAGCGTAGCTGCTAATTATCGTGACAAGATTTGACAAGTCATATTATTTATAAAGATATTTGCACCATGTGGCCTGTCTGAACAACGACAATGAACAAGTCATAGCCCTAACAAGCCAGTTACGGTCTGACAACTTGGTAAAAGTTACCCAAGAGCTCAAATTACATGAAATGAATGAAATGAAAAATACTTTATTTATCCCCGAAGGGAAATTCAATGATTTTTTTTTCAAAAAATTTTTTTTTTTCATTCAAAAATTCACATCACAAATGTTTAACTGATGTTACTCTAAAATTGTACAAAACAGACAAAAAACCCCACAAATCTTAAAAGCTCTGCATATACCACTCTATATATCTATGCTAGCATACTGTGAAGATGGAAGGTCCAAAGGTTGACTCCTTCAAGATCAGAACAGCTGATATATGGATTAGACTATAATATGGGCAGGGCTTCTTCAATATTTAACAGTGTCTGAACTTGCTTCTGTGGCCTCGCTCGTGGTCTCTTGACATTGTTTTTGATACAGATCACCAATTATACAATATAGCCTTGATTTTCCAACCTTGTACAGGAACATAAGAGGCAAAGTCAACAAAGGTCAGGAACTGTCGCTAACCATAAACTACACACTGATAAACTGGGTAGCATGCTTGAACTGTGTCTTTACTGGAGGACAGCCATAAATAAATATTTTGGCTCATTGGATTAGCCATGTCTAAAGGGATTTCTGTTTTAATGAATGAGTACGGTCATTGAGCTCTAGGATATTGGCCACTTTCTGCTTCTGAGGTGCTGCTTTATTACAATGAACCACAAGCAGACTTGAAAACCCTGACATTAGTGCTTAGTCTCTAAATGACATGCATTCTTTTAAATGAAATCATGCCCCAAGAAACCACCAAAAGTTCACCTGACTCTGCGCAGAAATGGAAATGTGAATTTCAGCAGCTATTTCTGTCCTAATGCAGGCATGTGACTCACACACAGGTCGCTCCTCAGCTGGCCGTACTGCGTCGACACCCAGAAGCCTCTCCGGTCCTCCAGGGTGATGAAGGGCTCCTCCGGGTACCTGGCCCGGTACTTCTTCAAGAAACCGCCCTCGAAGTCCGCCAGGACCCCGTCCATGTCCACCAGAACCCGCAATCTCTTACCAGAAGTAGAGGAGGACGACATGTTTATGCAAATCCTCTTAAATGGATCACGGAGCAGAGTTCTCCCTCCTCCGAGTAGGCGTGTAGTACCGAGCAACAACATCTCTGACCGGTACAAACACTACGAGTCACTCTGTAAACAGCGACTTAAAACACTGAATAAAGTCCGCATGGGAGTAGAAAAGTTTCCAAACACTACGGCACTTACACCGCTTTCAGCATTAGAGTTGCCAGTGTTGTTATTCGTCTTTCTGTGGAGTTTTTTGTTTCACTGCTAGCTTAACTTTGTCATTCTGGCCGCGTCCCTGCGCTGCAGTCGAGCTAACGGTCGGTGGCTAGCTGACAGGCTAGCAGCAGCGGCGGGCAGGTCAAATGTGACCTGCCTCTGGACACAGTGGACAGGGAGCAGTTTGCATCGTTTGTCAGTGTGTATTATGCGGCCGGCAGCTACCACCGACCTGTCTTAATTCCACAGCATTTCTAACGACGACTGTTGGAGAAACCTGAATTGTAATGGACAGTAAACAACTGGCACTGCGGCAGAAAAGGAGAAGTGATCAGCTTCTTCTTCCTCTTCTTCTTCACCGTTTATTTGGCGGATTGCAAACCAACTGTTCAGTGCACACGGTCGCCACCTAGAGGACAGCAGACCGTAGCACAGTTTCCATTAGTCAACAAAAGTGCAATGCAAAAAGTTTAAATAAATAAACAAGTGCTAAGCCATGGGAATACTATGGAGCCCCGGAAGGGACATGGAGAAAGAAAAAAAAAAACACGGAGAGGAAAAAAAACAATAGAGGTATCTTTTGCAAGACCTCGCAAAACTTTCTCACAAAACTATAGGTATATATACTTCTGGGTCTTTTTGGCAGTATGGAGGAGTGACAATGGAGGACACTGTCTGTACGAGAGTTTTATTGAGTTTAATTTTGAAATCAGCCCAAAATATAAAGACATACAAGCAGTGCTCAGCAAGAGGCACAGTTTTTACATAAGCGAAAGAAATCTGAAAAGGATACTCAGTGCAAGGGGACACACTCGTCGCAAATCATACTCCGACCTGGCCATCCTGATAGACTTCATATGCAGTGAACTACAGTCCTCTGGAATGCTTCATGGGTACTGACCCAGCTCTTCACTGAACACCTTTGCACTTGACAGACTGAAAACAAATAAACAAAAAAAAAAACAAAATGACGTCCTGTTACCTCCCACACAGCCTGCTATTGGCATCAACGTCCAAACACACTTGAACTTGTTCTATGGCACTTATCCAGATTGTTTTCTCCTGACTAGTTCCTTGCTTGTGTTTTATCTGCTCTCAGATGTATGTCACTTTGGATAAAAGTGTCTGCTAAATGAAATTGTAGAATTGTAGATACATTGTACAACAAGCCTGATCACAACAAACACATGGTTCATGGGATGGTTGTTTCAATAGTGAACACAATAAATATACAGGTTTATAATCATGCAGATGTGAAAAAAAAGGAAATAAAAACATTATTTTACCACCGCTGTTGCAGCAAATGTGGATGTTTTATGTCCAAAAGGTACATTATGGGTGCATATCTGAGCATAGATACTCTTTCTGTCTGACAGCTGATTCTGTTAGATTTGGTAAACTGCTTTGAGGGACAACAATTTTGCATTTCACGTTAAAACTTTCAAAGAACAGGCATTTCATGAGTTGTAAATAAAATGAATTGATATTTGTATGTATATATTATATATTTGATAATGTGACAGAAGTGAATCGTATATTTTTTTTACGTTTATGTTAAGAGTTGGAGCCACTGTCTTTCTTGATTTCAAATCAGTTTTATACAGAACACATTCAGTTTTTTTTATACAGTATTTCAATACAATTTGTACAGATTTTATACGGAATTATACAGAAAACTACATACAAGTACATTACAGCTTGATATAGCTCATAGTGAAGGAAGTATCAGCTTAAAACAAGGTTATAAATGTGAGCAATACGCTTCTATAATAAAGAAAAAGAGACATTTTCAGATGCTACTGCAAAAAGTGTGTGCTTATTATCACCATATTTTAAATTAGTTAACAAAATATCTCATTAATATGATAGATTTACTAGAGAATATTAAGATTAATAATAACTTTATTGATATAGTGGTTTTAAGGACAAGGGTTTAATAAGTGCTTTGAAAGATAATGCAAAGTCTGAATAGCCAGAAGGTACCATAACAACAATTAAGATAAAGTTAAAACAGAGACTACAGATGCAAAACTGCAATATGTAAATTGCAATAAATGCAAGTAAAATAATTCAAGGAAATAAATCTTTACAGAACTGATGTGAAGTCTGCATTACATATATGGGACATTTTAAATAACAGCTGCTGTTAAAAATGTACCTGACTAAATTAAGTGTTATGGTGAAGACCTCACAATATCTTTATTTATTAGTTTAAATAGCAAAGTTAAAGCTCTATAATATTATACAAAGTACAATCTGACCAAATTTTAACATAAATGTTCAGACCCTACAAAGTTGTATACTTCAGTTATTTACCTGATTAATTTATAGAATTATTTAAAATCAGCATTTTAGGTAATGGCTGACAACCAAAACTGAAATTTCTCTGTTTTTTCAATTTTAAAAACAACAGTATAATTACAGGAAATTCTGCTTCACTAAAGTACAAGAATTCCTAAACCACAGTTTTAAACTGAGAAAACTGTACGTTAGCTCCTCATTTAAATAAATAAATAAATAAATAAATTCTTCAGTATAAAAGTGGCACGAAATAGACCCACAAATATATTCAACAAACTTTTCCTTCCTAATGAAAATGCCTTTGAGAACATTACGACAGTTAAAAGCTTCAAGTAAATCGTGTGTCTGGCCCTTTAAGAATCCAACGGTCGGCTCGTAAATCCCGTTGCAGTCTGTTCTGCTCATATGATCTCGCGATAGCTTCACCTCAGTGGCGGCTGTGTGGCCCCCTGTCTTAGTCCGGACGGAGTTGTTTCTGACGTTTGAATGAAAAACAGTGCAAATTACCTCCTCTTTGGACCCAGGAAATAATGGCTTCAGCCTTGGAGCAGTTTGTGAACAATGTGCGGCAGCTCTCCGCTCAAGGTAGGGTTGCTAAACTCATTAGAGTGGGAAGTATTAGCTAGTTAGCTAGCATATGCTATCCAATGCCTTGCCGATAGCTAAGCAGCCAAACTGGTCAGAGCCCTCTTTTTGCTTTATCATGTAAACACACCGCTAATATGGCTTTCTGTGGCTGCAAGAGTTCTGTAAACTATCACCAGAACATGCGTTAGTGCCCAGGGACGGCAAGGATAACCGTGAACTTGTTAGCACATCAAACAAAATGTGAAAATTGTACTTTTTGTTTTTGATCTAGAAAATAATTTCTGGGGACTGCCTACCGGTAGTCCCGCCCTAACCGAACACGATTGGCTGATGGACTGAATTAGCGAATATTATTGGCTCAAAAGCACCTGTCAATCGCACTTTCATTACCTCTGTTGCAAGGCCTTGACAGCACTCTTGACCGGCCGATTTACATTAAAATACTCCACAACACGATGGTTATAAAGACTTTAATGAGCCCGTTTGTCTTCTACATTTGTGAAGAATAGCCCCTTGGTATTCAAAGGCATAAAAATTTCAAAATGTTGCATTAATTTGACCACTTAAACAATGAAGAAAATGCCTCTGCATACTTGGGGGGAAAAAGTATTCCTCTCTTACCCTTTGCTAATTTTATTAATTTAACCTCACTATTTATAATAGCTGTGAAGGTGAGAGGGTTAAAATAACAATTCTAGTTTGGGTAACCCTTGCAATTGCTTTTTAGTTCGTGTCCCTCATGTACCACAGAATGTAAAAATAGATCTGTGCAATCGCAATACGATAGCAGTAAATCTCAGTATAACAACCTAATTATTATGAAATCGTGGGTTGACCTTTAATCAGTGGTTTCAAACATTTAATCTGCATCTAGAGTTGCAAAGTAAACTGCCCTAAACGTGTTGGGACATTTGCTTTAATCTACCACAGATTTTAAGGACATGGAGGCAGGTCAAACGTGGTTTAATATCTCTCTCTGTTCTTCTGCCCTTCACCTTGCCCCCCCAGGCCAGATGACTCAGCTGTGCGAGTTGATCAACAAGAGTGGGGAGCTGCTGGCCAAAAATCTGTCCCACCTGGACACGGTGCTGGGGGCCTTGGACATCCAGGAGCACTCCCTAGGCGTGCTGGCTGTGCTGTAAGTTCCCACTTTCACTTGAGCTTATTCTTCATTTGCTGTCATCAATGCTGTAACTGCTAATCAACAACTCTGACCCAGTTTTCTTCTCAGTGGAGTCTGCTGCTGTTTTTCTGTATTGTGTTTCCTGTTTTCTTGAGATCTGTCCAGCCTAGTGTTCCTGTTCATGCTTGAGTTCATTGTACTCTTTGTATCTCCTCAATTTCTTTCGTAACTGGACCAAAACATTCTGTTATTGGTGTGTCTGCTGAAGGTCATGCTGTAGTTTTTGTGACAAAGAGGATAGGCGTAGTGGAGCTTTGGGGAAAGACTGTTAACAGTTAGAGAATGGCGCACACAACTTTGGTGCCAGCTTAGTTTTTAGATAAAATAAGTCATCAAATTGATTAAAACAAATTTCATTTAAAGTTTTGTACATGCATGTTTTTTTTTTTTTTTTTTTTAAACTATTATAGGCTGCATGTTGCTTAGCAAGTCTCACACATTTATGAAGAAGTAAAAGACTACCTGTTGCATGCACAATTAATAATGGAGGCACGAAGCGGCCTAACACTTTAGCAATGAAGGTAATCATTTCTGGTTATTTAGAAAGTCAAGAAATGCTCTGTTGAATATTTGAACACTATGATTGTAAAACTTGAGCTCAGTTGCGTGTCTAAAAAAAATATTCCACAACTTAGAAAAAGTCTTTCTCTAACAATTACCTATGACCACACTAGATGTTATTAGTGTACTTCTGCTTCTCGAACATCAAATCCCAATACAGATTGATTAATTTCCCTGCTCATTAGTCACACATTTTTCCTGCATATTTTGATATTTCCTCTCCTTATGGGTGTGACCTTTCAAAATTGACCATAAAGTAATTTTCATCTCACATGCCTTTTGCCATTAAGTCTCTTTGTTTCACTGAAATGTTTTTTGCTAACGTCCCGCTCCTTTGCTCCAGATTTGTGAAGTTCTCCATGCCAAACATCCCTGACTTTGAGACGCTCTTCTCCCAAGTCCAGCTCTTCATCAGTACCTGCAATGGAGAGCACATTAGATATGCAACAGACACTTGTAAGTCCTGACCAACTAACATCTCACTCCTAGAAGTTATGGGAGCCTTTCTCGATTCTGTTTGCTCTACTTATTTTGTGTAAGTTTCCAATTGCACAAGGACAGATTTCTGCACTGGTCCGTGCTCCGTTGCTTAATGTGTCAAGAATGTATTTGCCCAATTATGCCAACTCTTTCTTGTGTAGGTGCTTTAGTTGTGACCATATATTGTAAACAGGTGTCCCTTAAAAAGCACTGTAAAACATTTTTGAACCACTCAAAACTAAGATTGTATTGCTGCAACAGTTTACATCATGAATGTCTCTAGGCAGTGATGTGTAGGTGTGTTCTGCACACACATGTGAGCAGTACATGACAGTTTATAACCAACCACTATCCAGTCAACCATAGATTTTCTTTTAACTTATTCTTGCTCTTCTCTTCCCTCTCACAGTTGCTGGTCTCTGCCACCAGTTGACAAACGCCCTTGTAGAGCGGAAACAGGTAAGACTGTTGAGTATCTCTTCAAACTCCAAATGAATCAGTTGCATGCTTCAGGCACAGCTATGCAGCGCTGTTTTATAAGAGCCAGCAGTAAAGACGTTTTTTGTTTTTTTGTTTTTTTTTACATAATTCTCCCCATCCTTGGAGGAAAATGTCTTGTCTTCAATGTCTGCTTTTTCATAGATTATGCAATTTATGATGCTGTTATCCTTGTGCCAAACAATTAGTTTCCATTTGTGATTCACAGACTGCAGCCTTTGCAGTAGTCTGCAGTGCTGTGGTTGCTAATGAAGACTGAGCAGTTTAAATAGCAGTTGAGAATACAGAACGCAAGTAGGGTTTATTTATTTGTTTTCAAGTGCTGTCTGTTTATCTGCTTTTGTCTCCTTGTCCAGTCTGTCTTTGGTTTGCGGCTTCGGCACTTTCAGTGTGTATTCATTGACAGACTGCTGATCTATTGATGTAGACAGACTATCAGCCCTAAAAGCTTTGGGGCCCTGGAGTCTTTTATCCCATCAACAGTTGATCTCCATAGTGTTTACTTATAGGTGCTGTTTCACTTACAGTATGTATGTGCCTCCACCGACTTACACAAATATATTCACAGGGACTTTCAAATTCTAATAACTAACTCGTACTTTACCAGCCCCACTGAGCTTCAGCAGTACAGTCATATGACTCAAGCCTCTGCCATCTAATAGAGAAAACAAAAACCACAACTTCCTTCCACCAAAATAATTGCGTTAGTGTTGATGTGTTGCCTGTTGTGTGATATTTTTGTGATCATGATGTTCTCGTTAAAGTGATGTGTGCTCGTCAACAGGCCCATCACGCTCGTATGACGTATTAAAGGCCACAGTGCAGCGTCTTCACAGTGTAGTTTTTTGTGTGGGAGGAACTATTTTTAATGTTGCATACACCTTCCTGCAAAAGCAATTTCCCCTCTGCGACAGTGAAATTAGTCCATTTTAATCTTATTTTCCACTGCTGTCCACAAAGTCAAAGCTCACATGAGTCATCCCATCTTCAGCACTCAGGAGTAGCATGTTTTCCTTTTCCTTGTTGATCTAAATATTTTAATGAATTTTAAAGTGTGGTACAGGCCCGGACCATTTGTTAGAATGTCTCAGGAAAGCTGCAGCTGAATAACTAAAAATGTTTTCCTCCTCTGACAGCCATTGAGGGGTGTCGTCGTCCTAAAACAGGCAATAGACAAAATGCAGATGAACACAAACCAACTTACCTCAGTTCATGCAGACCTGTGTCAGGTGAGTCATTGTCTCTGCTGAATTATCACCATGGAATAAATCACCTTAACTGTAAAAAGGCTCGTGTTGCACATTTCATTTTGCTACTAACTGATCTGTATTATCTGTAATCATCTTAGTCATCCCTGTTGTCTTCATTGTCTTTGCTCTATTTCTGCTAAATGCATATTTGTTGGATATGCCGTGTGTTAAATAATTCAAGCAGGACTGAGTCCCAGCACAGGTTCTCTACAATGTGACTGTACAGTCTAACCCACTCCATCATCCTCACGTCTTACCTTTCTACCTGCAGCTGTGCTTGTTAGCAAAGTGCTTCAAGCCTGCCCTACCCTTCTTGGAGCTGGACATGATGGACATCTGTAAGGAGAATGGAGCCTACGACGCAAAGCACTTTTTATGTTACTACTACTATGGTGGCATGATCTACACGGGCCTCAAAAACTTTGAAAGAGCACTGTATTTTTATGAACAGGTACGTTTTAATGGCACTTGCATATCTACATGATTGCGATGTTCAGTAGTGGCTCTTTGGTTTCTCATGGAACCAGTAATTCTTCTGCATTTGTCACTTGCTCCCATGTTTTCCCTGAGGGACATTAAACTGTCATTTCTTTGTGGTATCTCTGTAAATGATTACGTGCTTTTATTTTCCTTGACAGGCAATAACCACTCCAGCCATGGCAGTGAGCCACATCATGTTGGAAGCCTATAAGAAATACATCCTGGTGTCACTCATTCTCCACGGCAAAGTGCAGCAGCTGCCCAAATACACCTCACAAATAGTAGGGAGGTTCATCAAGGTAAGGATGAACAGTGTGGTTTTGGCGTTCATCTTTTGTGTAGTAGTGCCACAGAAGTTAGGGCTGTCACAATCATGAAACTGTAGTTGGATCCATTGTCATACAAATATCTGATCAACAATTCAGCTGGGTTTTTCTGTTTCTATTATGCATCTGTTCGTTTTAGTTTAGTGGTATTTGTGCCTTGGACTGCCAGTTTCTTGCTGCACATCTGACAAATCGTCTCCTTTAAGATACTGACCTCTCCTTCTGCATTTGGCTAAAAACCAAAATGTGCTCAAAGTGTTGCTGTGCTCTTTGGCTTTGCAACTAAATCCATTAATGTCAACAGACGTTCATTAAAATGCATGTTGCTCGAAAATTACAAGTTAAGAGAGTTGAGATGTACAGTCGGTGCCATCAAAGCGTAGCAGAAGAAAACAGGACAGACAGTCGAAATAGTGGTCGAAATATGACATTGCTGTTTGTTTCATTCAGTAGTTTTTCTACAGGTGACAGGAAACAACCCCAGTGATTATGCAAAACGGTCACAGTCAGCTGAAACATTTGCAATCAGGCCACTATGTGATAATTGTGAGGTTCTGTATCACAGCTGGCAGTGTCATTTCTTAAACTGAAATGTTTGTTTAAAATGGTAAATGTTGCTGAAAGTAAGTAGTCGGTATGCAGGAGTGCAGTAATGATGTTTAGGTTGATGTGAACAGGCTGCACAAAGAGAGTTAGTGTTGTTGACTTGTTGGTTAAAAAATACACGTGTAGGCCTCCCTGTATTTATTGTCTTATGAAACTAAGCAGATAAAAGTGAGCCACTATGAAGAATCTTTTAGAAAGTTTCATGCAAATGGTGAGTACAACTAGCTGTAAACAAATATTTCCTGCTTGATCAGTTTGCACTTACAGGCAGAACTAACAATTATCAAATTGTTAAAGAATAAAATCACAGCAGAAACAAAGACATGCAGACATTTGTCCACCTGTAGACCACGGTGACGGTGAGAAGTTCCACTTTAGCAACATTCAGTCTGTAAATCTTACAGTTCTAGTAAGACGAACTAAAATTACAAACTGAGTTTCCCAACATCTGCTAATGTCCATTCATCTCTTAAGGAAATGAGTTTACTGCAATGACTTCATAATCAGGTCGCTTGCTGTTTGAACAAATTGTGACAGCCAGTAAAGATCCACGTCTGCAGCTGATCCATTTTCTACTGTTAATGTCTTTTCTTTCTATATTGTCGTTTCTGTTTTTGCCTCTGCCCTCAGCCCCTGAGCAACGCATACCACGAGTTAGCCCAGGTTTACACCACCAACAACCCGGCCGAGCTGCGCAGCCTGGTCAACAAACACAGCGAGACCTTCACACGAGACAACAACACAGGCCTGGTCAAACAGTGCCTCTCCTCCCTCTACAAGAAGAACATCCAGAGGCTAACAAAGGTGGGTTGCACCGTCTGTGTGTTTGTTAAATGAGCGTGAGCGCTTTGATTTATATATTAGCACACACCAGATGTCTTCAGGAGAAAGTGTGGGCGGGATTCTTCCAGTCTTTACGTCCTCACATGATGTATAGCTCATGTGCTGGCGACATCAGGCTGGGCATATGGGATGAATTTATTTGAGGAAAAGAGAGTGGAAAAATTGACAAAAATGAAAAGAGTTATCTAAAATGTGTCTTAGTCTTCCAGGTCAGCTGCAGTGCAGTACACTGGAAGTCACAATGTTTCAAATGAAGAGAAACATCCCCAAAATCTGGGTGTGTGAAGACAGATGTAGACATCTGATAACCAGCTGTTACTTATTCTTGGAAAGCATGTCCAAACACAAATGAAACAAGAGCTTGCTGTCTTCAGCTAGAGCTCAGTCATCAGTCAATGTAGTATCTAGATCATGATATGAGAGCAGACGGAACTGGTGTTAAAGGCTTTGCTACACTTAGCTGACGTGATATCCTGATACTTTTGGATTGTTCTGAGTAAGAATAAATAATGTCTCCACCTTTCTTTTTTTTAAATATTAGTATTCACAAGTGTATTCTGAACTCAATCCCCAGATTGTAGTCACATATCAACATACACTTGTATTGAGATTATAAGTAGCAGTATGATCTTCATCAAGTTAATCATATTTTACTGACGTTAGAGGAATTATACAGTGAATAAGAGACTTGTGAGTTCTGGTGACTTGTTGATAAGTTTTTGTCTGCATTTAAGTGAGCAGCTTGAGTTTCAATCATCCAATTGCAGGCACCCAATAAACGTTCAGCGTTCAAAGAAAAGTACTTTCACATGTACAGTAACAGGTTGAGCAGCTCTAATGTCAATTTCTGTTTCACGCACCCCACTGCAGACCTTTCTGACACTGTCTTTGCAAGACATGGCAAGTCGAGTGCAGCTTTCAGGCCCCCAGGAGGCAGAGAAATACGTCTTACACATGGTGAGTTGGCCCGTGAGGACTTAACCATGAAACACAGAACAGCTGTCATCAGTGCTTTTGAAACCTATGCTGATGGAGAAAGATTGTCAGTATCCGTGTTATGATAGTGAATGTACTTTATGATTCTTCAGCACAAGTCATTGCATATGTTGTACCACATACAGTATTATATGTTCCACACTGAATGCTCTTTACATACTCACTTTAGAAATATAAGGCTAGGAACTTCAGCTGGTTTAAATTTGTGCTGTTGTGTTTTTACTTACTTGTCTTTAATCACATTCCTGATGTCATTTAAAGTGTTACATCTGACTTTCTACCAACTAGCAGTTTGACTGATATTTTGTGGTCAATTTTCCTCATGCTCCTCCTTGTACTTCTTTGCAGATTGAAGATGGTGAGATCTACGCTAGCATTAACCAAAAGGATGGTATGGTCTGCTTCCACGACAACCCCGAAAAATACAACAACCCAGCAATGCTCCACAAAATTGACCAAGAGGTGGGGATGCTCTGCTCTATTTTCCTGTGCTTTTCCCAAATAGTTTCACATTGATACACTTGAATCCCTTATTGGCAGCTACCTTTTTTTAATTGAATGTGTAATTTTCTCTTTTCAGATGTTGAAATGTATAGAGCTGGATGAGAAACTAAAGTCTATGGATCAGGAAATCACAGTAAACCCACAATTTGTGCAGAAGGTGAGACAGTCTTTAACAGCATATCAAACTTTTCTCATATTCACACTTGGTTCTATGTGAATATTGCTGCATTTTGCTTTATGGCATTAACCTGTTGCCAATGAGTACTTTGGTGCAAGATTTCCGTCATGACAGATTATAGTACATCTAGCCATCGTTATTTTTTTAATTATGAATGATGTCCGAATAACATTTTTTAAAAAAAGGCTTTATGCAATCAGTCTAAGGAATGTACGTTATTTTCACAAACGGAAAGAGTACAACACAGTACAGTTCATCTGCAATGTAAAAAAAGGGGCCTTTCTTGGTATTTAAGAATGATGAAACACTGCCACTGCACATATATAACAATCCAAAACAGTTTGTTTTCAGAAGAGGAACATAATGAGATTAAAAGTTCAAACAGTGTTAGCACCAGATGGCCAATCGCAAACATGAACAAGTCGCATTTTGCTCACAAGGACAAACTATAATCCTAAACAAATATCAGTAATTTAATTATTCATTTTAATTTTAATTTGTGTTGAAATTCACAACACTTCTACTTAGTTCTATTGCTTTTATTGCAGTGATGCGTTGTGCCTATCAAATTGAACCTGCATAACTTGACCTTTCTAATAATGCGTGTTGCTTGTCAGTACAACAAAGTGTCTGTGAAAACAATAATTTGGAATTTCTATTAAGTTTATTGAGAAACAACCTGCACACAACTGTGTCCATCTACACACCCATTACTAAGTACACATGAAGTCATCATTGCATACATAAGGTTAACAAATCACAAGAAAAAAGTGAAATTGTAGCTTCGAGTGATTATATTTGTTGATCCCGAAGTAGTACCATTATGAAGACCGATGAAGCTTTGCTGCATCTATTTTTCCTAACTTCTAAGTCATGCAGTATCCTACCGTCATGCTTGTGATGTTGTCAGATTTCAGAAAATCTCCACTACAGAGTTATGAAAAGACATCTACTGCGTACACTTAATGGTGAGATACATATAAAAAAAATAAGAATAATTTCAGCAGACTTATGAAATACAACAAAATACAGCCTGCATGACTTGCCCTTATAATGACCAAAACAAGCTTAAAAAGTGAAAATAGACCAAGGCTCATAGGGTTAATGCAGTCGCTGCCACCAAAGCCAGGAGGCAAAAAGTTGCTTGACTGTGTCAATGAGTAATTTGATATGCTTATCAATATCACTGCCCCGTCATTAAGGCACAACTAGATCTGACGACATTTACCGCTGTGTGCTCCATTAAATGTAAGTGTTGTATTCTTAAGGCGTGTAAGACAATTTTAGCCTCATTCTTTCTGCTGCAACCCTGGCAGTGTTAAAAGTATTCAAACCGGTAAGGAGGCTTAAATATTACAAGGTCAACTAGTAAAAAGCTTTAATGTTTTAATCAGTCTCTGCTGAAGGATTACTATGCAAAGACCTTTAGAAAAATGTAATTGCTCCCTCCGAAAATATAACCTCTCACTGTCTGAGCTCCGATGGGATCTTCTAGGACTGAATGAGAATAGATCGATCAGGAAGCAGCTTTATTGCATGTTGTCGTTGGTTATTTTGAGCATCCAAAGCAGGTTAGGTGTGCAGCAGAGGCCAAGTTACCGCAATGATGTACCCCAGGAAGAAGCGAACCACCATCATAGCTGTGAAAATCGAGTTAAACCTGAAGTTACAGCGCGAACCGCACATCTTGCTTCATAGTTCAGGCCTCCTTACTTCAGAGCCATAACAAACAATCAGCTATTGTTTATGGAAGTGCTGCAGGAACAGGTTTTCAACCAGTTGTTTGTTCACCATTTTGACATTTGACACACTTTTTTTTTTTTTTGCTTTGTTTCCAGAGTATGGGATCGCAGGAGGATGATGTTGGTAGCAAAACATCAAGTTATTCCTGAGGGGCCTTTTGACAGGGACAGAACGCTGCAGCCACCCAACACGTTCTTCCCAGGATGAGTTGGATTTTTTTAAAAGAAGAAAACAAACATTCTATTGCATAAGGACATTGGTCAAGGAAAATCTAATTGTGTGGAATGATGATAAATTTGGTTATTCTTACTTCACAGTGTCTTAAGGATAACAAAAGATCCTTACAGAAAAGGAAAAAAGAAAAAAAAAAAAAAAAAAGATTACAATTTTGTCAGTGTTTTATTTATCAATGTTCAGGTTGGAGCGCCACTGCTACATTAACAGAAACCACAATAATAAAAACTGGACTTATTTGTTCCAAACATATGTGTGAATAATCTCACTGTTTGTTTTGGTTCTGCTGCATGATGGCCGTAAACTCGAGGGCATTACATATGAGGTAAAACAACTATGGCTGACGAGGAATAAATCTGATTATATTCTACATTTGTAAAGACTGCAATGATCGTTTCCCTCTCACTCCTTTTTGGTTAGAATGTAGATATCATCAATAGCAAAAATCTGTACACATGGACATGCCCTTGACCAAACTCGGCACAATGGAGGAGTCGTTCACAATCTGGTGCACTGTTTTTTTTTTTNTTTTTTTTTTTTTTTTTTTTTTTAGGTCGGATCCACTAGAGGTCGCTAGAGCACTGTACAGAAAAACCGTTTTGACAGCTTGTTATTACAAGAGGTGAAGTCAACAGATGAAACCAAACTGTCATGTCATTTTGGGAGCTTGAGCTTTGCGATTGTGGATCTGTTAATAATAAATTGTTTAAGAATATAGCTCTGGGTTTCATGGCTTTGTGAAAAGACTCTCGGTTCTTCATCCTTGAGGTTTACATTTGAATCCTCATGCACTCCTGATTGTAATATTCTTGATTGATACGATGAAGCTGATTTATGCTTCAGCCAATGATTGTGTTCGTACGAGCGGATGTGGTTTGCAGGAAAATCCGACCAATCAAGACGCGGCACCCGATTCGCGGAGGCGGGACGAGAACGTTGGCACGCGTCAATCAAGCGCAGCGCTCGCACCTGATTGGTCCCGCGCTATGAATGAGGTGGGTCTTGACGGGACTCACCGTGTAAGCTACTGTTGAAATTCCAATGCTAACCAACTTTAGCCAGCTTGCTAACATGTAATTCAAGCGAATGTGAAGAACTACACACACAGCGCTATTCCGGACCTAAATGCACAAATAACATTTATCTCCAAAGCAGGCACATTGGACAGTTCGTCTTCATGTTTGCTACTGCGCTCGTCTCAGCCACCGCAACCGGGACATGTCCAGTTAGCCAGAACGCAGCAATCGGCGGATAACGAACCTGGCAAAGCTAGCCAGCGAGCCCCGTTCGGACTGGGTCTGCGGTGAGGGATTTGAACAGGTTTCGTCGCTCGGAGGACCGTGAAGCCGGATGCTGTGACTACCATGAGTCCCGCAGGCTGCCCCCATGTCAACGGCTTCAAAGTGGACAACTGGAAGCAGAACCTGAGGGTTATCTATCAGTGTTTCGTGTGGAGCGGTTCAGCTGAGACCAGAAAACGCAAGGTAACGAGGAAACAAGTGCTTAGAAAGGGACCCTAACGTACCTCTGCGTGTGTGTGTGTGAGCGTGTGTGTGTGTGTGGACAGCTCCCCGCCCTTCCACAAACAACACAAACATCCGACACCCTGAAACTACTGTTAGCCCTCAAAACAGATACTATCGCTGCTCACAGGCTTGTTTTTTTTTTTTTTTTTTGCTCCTCCGCATCGGGATCGAACCGCCGACACCTGACGGGCTTCGGCGCAACTCTTGTGTGGCAAACTACTAGCAGTTAACCCCTCACAGCCGAGCGTTAGCCTGCATCAAAGCTACACCGCCGCATGATAGATCAGAAAGCTGATGTGCATCTGTTTGCATTGGCTCTGCGCCTGCTGTGGCTCCACTTCCCTCCACCAGCAGGCCAGCAGTAAAGACGTTGGTATTTCCTCGCTTATGAAGCATTGATGGGTTTTTAAAAAACATCAACATTCATTAATATCAGCCCTCCGTGTACTCTCTACCTGTTATCATCCTCGAGCTAAATAACAGATGCATCCCTGCATGACAGGATCAACGAGGTTTAAACTGGCAAGGCGGTAGGATGTATGTGTCATCACATGAGAACAGCTTGACTGTCCTTGTGCTGTTCTGTGTAAAGAGTCCTTTCTCCTATTGAGTCATGTGAGTGCCATAGATTTACATAACATGTGGCACGGAGCAGATGTGCACGGTGTTTTAGCATCTGCAGTGTTGCATGCCTGCCTGCATGCATCCTGCACCCACGCGTGCTCTGACTGGGACAACCCTGCCATGTGTGTGAAACCAGTGGGAGGTGGTGGTCCAGAAGGCATGAGTGCTGTAGTGAATGGTGTTAATATTTTTAGGGTGGCCTCCTGCTGTGATTGCTGGGTTTTTGTGCTCCACCCTGCCCCGGAGAGCAGATAAGGCTGGCAGGAGGGCTCACATCCCTGCTTAATATTGCCTCCCTGTGGCACTGCGTTTTTTTTTTTTTATATTAATTGTGGCTCAGTTTTCCATTCAGACACACTGTTCACATGGGAAAACTGTTACGCCAGGTGGTTGTGTTGTGACTCCCATGTAGCTTTTAGTTCAGTGGGAGACAGTAAAAAATTTTTTAGGTGGAGCGATTATGAAATAGGTGAATTATCAGATTCAGTATGAAGCATTTTTCAGATCCTCTGGATTAGTATTTTTAATTTTTTTTAACTGATTGTGATGTATTTTAACTGATGAAATTAATTAATTTAACCAGGCACTACTTTGGCTTTGCTGCAGCTGCCTCTCCTTATCTGAAGGCATCACTCTGTGGTCAACGCCTCACCCACCTGCTTGTGATTGTAGAGCTACAGAGATTAATCGACTCGTTGTCAACTATGGAATTAATGACCAACTCATGAGATAGTCGATTAATAGGTTTGAGTAATATTTTAAGGAAAACACAAAAAGGAAAATTGTAAAATGTGAATATTTTGTGGTTTCTTTACTCCTCTATGACAGTAAACAGAAAATGTTTGTCGATGAAAAAAGACATTGGAAGATGTCATCTTGGGCTTTGGGAAACACTGATTGCCATTTTTCAGCACTTTATAGACCAATAAAAGCTTGATTATTCGAGGAAATAATATACAATGGAAATAATTAATAGTCATAGCCCTTTCTGATTGGTTACAGACGCTATTGGCACAGAGGATAAATGTTGAACACTTTCTTTTAATTAAAATTGTGTAAGACAAAGAAATTGTTTGTGATATTTAAAATTTTAATTTTTTTTGCAAATGTATATTCAAAAAGTCACTGATCTCCTTGATTGCTAATATTTGTTATCGACCATGAAGAAACATAGCTTTGGACAGCATGTTTAAATGTTTTGGATGATCTTTTCTCTGCTTGCTAAAGAGGGCGGTTGATGTTTTCCATCAGATAAGTCATACATTCATTTTCCAGCTTAATCTCAGCCTCAGTTTGTCTTTGAACAGTCTTTGAACCCATTAGCTTATCATGCATCGTTATCCTCTGGGACGCTGGGCAGCGCTCATAGGTGTAACCAGATATTCTAGCCGAGCTGCTTCCAACTCTTAGTTCACCGCTCCTGAGTGTAGCAGCGATACAGAGGAGAGAGACAAATCCACCGCCCTCCACAAGAAAAAAACAACTGCACCCGCTCTGACAGTTATTCCCCCATCATTTTCGAGCAGCAACACTCGAAAGTGCTACTGGTCAGAAAAATACATATCAGACAACTCTTCCATCACTCCACTCCAGGCTGACCGTTTTGCCTCTAGTGTCGGCCTTAGATGGTCACGATCAACACTCAGCCCGCATCAGACAGCCCACTGACCTTTTGATGCAGATTGAATTTTAAGCATGCGTTCACCTTGAGAATTCAAAGGCTCCACTCTTTGGCAGGCTTCACTGACAATCACAGCAGTGTCTTATCACATCCGAATGACAGGTGCGCTGGATTTTATCAGTCCACCTCCAAGCAAAACCGCGCTTTTCCCCCCACCAGATGCTGCATTTAGGGAACATCTCATTTTTTATTATAAGACAGCGTGATCAATAATTAACCGTCGTCGTGTTTTATTTGCAAATAACCACGTTTTACAGCCAGTACGTGCCGCACATGCTCATGTGCGTGCAGCAAGCAGACGTGAAATAAGACCAAAGACCTGCAAAACAGTGAGTCAGTCCTATTCAACATCACAGCTTCGCAGATTCAGCACTACTTTTATTCTAAGTCCCGTTAAGGCTGTCTTCTGTCAGGTTGTGCCACCGCCGCTGCCGAATCCTTTCAGCGCAGCAAAACACAAAATGGAATTGATAGGAAAGAAGTCCATTGAGTTGTAAGCTCAGAGCTGGTGGCAAAAAGACAGAAGGTCAGTGGAATGTCTCCCATTAGAAGAGTGGCAGCTGCTGCAACTAAATGTACATAAAATGTCTGTTACAGCGTCTGCAGTCGGTTGTCTGTTGTACTATAGTGCCGTTTTCTTGTGTTGTTATGAGAAAAGAATATTTCCATTTCCTTGGCAGACCGGGTTTTATTCCATCCTGCTGTTTTTGGAGGACAACAAGCATCACATGTTGCCCCAAGATGCCAGTTTTGTCATTGTCTCTTTTTAAATGACACAGTTCTTTCTTTCCTTACATTCCCCCTCCCATGTTTTGTGTCACAATTTAGTCAGAAAATATGCAATATGTGGTACTTTTTGTTTTGGAGCCTCGAATCCCCTCGTCTGCACTGAGTGGATGCAGGTCTTAAATGAGACAGGTGGTGCCGCATGTGGCTCACAGTGTATTGATGTCCTCACTTACACTTTTCTAACCGGGAACTTTCCGGCCCATTACCCTCTCCTGCTCTTCTCACATAACATCCCGCCCGCAGATGGCTTCGTCACTGACATCGCGGAGAAATATGACATGGCTGGAGCTTGAGCTGTTCTTTAGGTGTTAAGAAGACCACAAGGCCTCTTAGTTCATCGCCTGCTGTTTGTCCCTAACTGCTACATGTACTCGTCCTAGTGTGGCAGTTGAGGATGTGAAGATGCGCCACAGACAAGCAGACACAAATTCCTACATGAATACAGTGTCCTCTGGGACGAGGGAAACGCACGTGCACACTGTAACACTGACAGCCAGAAGAATGAGTGAGGAAAGATTGTTGCATATTGATGCGTATTTTCATAATTCATGTGCTGTCTAAGCACTTATGCATGGAGGGGCGTGTGTGTGACTGGAATAAGAATTGGTGAGTTATTTTTTTTTTATTTTTTCCATTTTGTGTCTCTGTCCCATGTTTAAAGCTGAATGAGATGCATGTTTTAAAATGGAGAGCAACAAAGGGATTTAAAAAAAAAACACATTTAAAGATCCGATCATGAACATCAAAAGTTTCAGATCTATCGCGTTTCAAAATGGATTTTTAGCAGATGTCATTTGATGGGGTGGGTCTCTAGAACAATTAACGTCAATCTAATGGTGTGTGACTTCTTTTTTTTTTTTTTTTAAACTACGTTTCCTTACTGAGAATTAGATGAGAAGCTCAATACCACATATCTGTGAGTTTAATAGAAAGTTGCTGTCAGGGCATTGGAAGCTTAGCTTAGCATAAACACTGGAATTGCAGGGAAGCTGTTAGCCTCGGTTGTCGTTTAGGAGTTGATTAGACAAAAGCTCTTCTTTCTCTGCCAATCTTTCCCAGTCAGAGCTAGTAGCATTTGCGCAGCGCTTTCAACATGACATAAACTGCATCGACTGACAACATGCACATTTGACATCAACATGGTTTTAGTTGTTGCCGTAACCATTGGGCCACATTCTATATATAGCTGTGGGAACACACCCATGAACATAATAATGTCACTACTGCAGAAATGTTTCTTATGATTGTGACATTTGAAAAAAAAGAAGTTTTTATTAAAAAAGAAATTGATTAGAATAATAAACATTTTGACTTTAATAAATGGATCAGACTTATGATATCCTGACAGCTCAGGACTCATACTGTCTTTAGATGAAACTCTGGGCTCAAACGGAACCCTGTGAGAAGTCGTGTACACCAAAAATACTTAAAGTTTCAGTAGTAACATTGCCTGTAAGTTGTGGGGACGCCGCAGCTAGCCAGTTTCAACGTGGATGTTACCGTTGGGGTCTACAGGCTAACAATGTCGAAGGGCTGGTCTGAATAGCAATTTATGGGCTCTGGATATTCAGTCTCAATTAATGCAAATATTAAAAAAAAACAAACTAGTCTGGCTATGTATTACAGATATCCACAGTTCAATTCTTCCTGGTCAAAATTAACATTTCAGATATCCACAATGATGTTATTCCTATCGACAATATCCACAGTGTCATTCCTCCTTGGACGAATGACATCACTTTCCCCATTGATGTGCACGGGGTTCGTCATTACAGATATCTTTAAATTAAGTATGGATATCCGCAATGTGAGATATGGATATCTGCAACTAAATTATGACTATCCGTAATTCCATTTTGAGATATCTTCAATTTCATTCTGACTCGTCACAATTCCAAATCGAGATATCTTCAACTCAAGAATATTGGGATCTCAAAATTGATATCCAGATACCACCACAAATATTTGGATGTTCGGGTCCAGCCCTACAATGTGACAGGCTAATGAGCAGGCAACATAATGTAGGACAGAAATTAGGGAACTGTCAACATTTTACCTCTAAAATTATGCAATTCATAATCTGTATAACCCAAGTTACAATATATTGTAATACACAAAAAAATGGGCGTTCATTGTCTCCACCATTTCTGAAAACGTCAGCAGACGCGTCATACCTTGCAAAGTCTGAGCTTTTTAGAGAATTACCATTAGCCACCAAAAGGGCGTTTATATGGACCCCATTGGAGGCCTAATCTTCGAATTGCTGCTATGTAACAAATGATTTAACAGCTGCTTTTAAAGTGTGACTCAATGCAAGAGAACCAAACAATGCTGTTTCCATCCAATCATGACCAATCCTGTCCTTCATGCTGATAAGCTGGCTATTAGTTCAGGTTTAGTCTTTTGTTGATTACTACCTCTTTGATCCTCAGAGTACTGTCCAATCTTTGCTGTACGAAAAATTTCCTGTGACTGTCACTTCACAGTCCGATGTGGTCGACAAGGTTACAAATCCCATGTGTAAAAAATGGCTGAAGATATAACCTGCCTGTGAGCTTGTTACCTTTGGACAGAGTCAAGTCAGCTGCTCCTCTTGGTCTCCAGTCTTTATGTGACGCTGAGATAACCTGCTGGGTATTTACCAGACGAAAGCAAGAGTTTAATGCAGTTTAACTGACAGAGCAAACAAATGTCAGACCAACATGTACCAGACATCTCCACATTTCATGCACTTTTGGCAAATTTTTATCATTCCATCAATATGTCAGTTGACTTATTAGTATTTCTTGAGTTTTCGGCGTGGTTGTTGAACACATCACGGAGAACTCACCTTGGGTCCTCGGAATCTGTGATGGACATTTTTCCATATTTCCTGACATTTTATAAATCAAAGATTGTATAAATAATGCATCAGATTGTACCGCAGCGCCGTCTTTCCACTTTAAATGCATATGCTCAAACAACACTTGCTTATACTGACACAGGATTTTGCCGCCAGTGTAAAGGTTTATCTCCGACATATACCGTTTTATTTTCTTATTGATAAGTATTCAAGTCTGTTCGTCCCCTGTGAACACGCACACACGCACAGAAAGCATAAATTTGACATTGAAATCAACCTTGTGCATAATTCCAGTCATTAAGTTTCGTTAAAGATGATTTTTTTTGCTGCAATTTAAGCCTTTACTCGATTGAGGTAATGGAGAAAGACAGGGGAAAAAAAGAGGTCGAATAACATGCAGCAAATGGTAAAGCCAGTCGGGATTCAAACCGAGGAGGGAATTTGCACCCTTTGCACTCTAACCGCTCGACTATCGGTTCGCCCTCAGCTTTAATTTTCCTTTTGATTTTTCTCCCTTTGTCTCTGTCTGTTTTCATTGCCCTCATACCTTCCTCTGTCCTCTTTTTTTCCTCCCTCCTGTCGTTTTTTTTTTTTTTTTTTTAGATTTTTCCCTGCTCTCCTCTTCCAAGTATTGCTCATTTCTTCTCACCTCCTCATATTCATGCTGGCTCATTGGCATGCCAGCTCGTCATCTGCATGCTTTTGAACTGTTGCTATCTACCCTCCATCCACAGTCACGCCGCCCTGCTTTTTCTCTCATACATGACTATCAAACAGAATGTATAGCAAGCTCAGTTAATAATTAATTCTTACATACTCTTATTTTAAGTTTACATATTAATTACATGTATCCCCCCCTCCTGCTGTGCTTTAGTTCAGTGTAACACAGAAAAAGCAGAATGTCGGGCAGGTTTAAGAGCCCGTGCTCATCCACTTAGCGACGAGGTCTCACACAGCCGCACACACAAACACAATGAAAGAAATGTCCATGCTAGATTGCTTTTCCTGTCGCCCATTGTGATTCCGAGCAGGGCACCAGAGGCTGAAGGAAAGCTATGTGGGATGCTGATAGAAAAATCATTACTCAAGCAGCAATGGAAGTCAGAAACGCAGCAGCAAATGGTGACACGTCGCATAATGCTCGAGAAATAGCTTCTGACATCGTGAAATGCCAAATAATAAAGTGTGTCTACTGTAGCTGCTTAGACATGCCAGACCCGCTGTCGAACCCAAAGCGCCGTACAGTGGATGTCCTCGTCGCGAGGATGTCGGATGGCCGTTTGCTTCAAGGTGCTTTTGAATATTGTCGTTTCTTTATTATTGCGTTTTGGCACTCGCCGCTGATGGATGACACTGAGAGAACAAACAAAATAATTTCGGTCTTGAAAGCCGCTTTAATTGGTTTTTGGGCCTCTTTGTGCTGAAAACAACATCATATTTTTTACACAGTTACAACAAAGGAGCTCATTTACCCACGCAGCAGAGCAGGTAGCATCATTAGCAGTCGTCCAGGGTTCTTATGCATCATAGAAACGTATGGAGTTTGATCCAGATTAATTCAGAAGCACACGGGATGGCATTTTTAAATTTGCATGCATACGTAGCATCACAAACATATTAAGCTTGTCTGAATCCTTATGAGTTATTCAGTGATGTAATTATAAGAGAAGTAAACGGATTATGTTTTCCGCATAAGAAAACCATTCTTTAATGGCTGTATTCATCATCGTTTCCATGGGCACAGGGAATAAACAAAGCCGCTGTGAAAAGCGAATTAGTTCGTTTATCAGCTCATTTCGGTTCGTGTTTGTAAAAGAGACTAAAAAAAATACGGAGGGAACAATACTATTATTTGTTCAGTATGCTAAGGGAAGATAATCTGGGAGGCACTGCTCCTATCAGGGCAGAGATAAAGTAGATGAACATCAACCTGTTTGTGCTCAGGTGTTACATATGGTCTGAGAAATCTGGAAGAGTTAAGAAGTTTTTAAATTAAAATGTGAAGCAACCCTGGGAATCGTCTTCCTGTTAATCTGATGAACATAAAGAAAGTCTTTTAGCGAAATTAACCTGCTACTTGCTCTAACTTCATATTCAGCAGACAAGCATGGGAGTTTATTGACTCCTAACAAAAAAGCTAATGTGCATATTGCCCAAACTGTCACACTTTACTTTTGGATGCGATCGCTTTCGTGACATCTATTGTATGACTGAAAGAACAAAGAGCTAAATATAATGTAATTAAAGCTGCATTAGTTTGATTTTTCAGGCCATCTTGACTCAGAAAAAGAAGCTAAAATCCAGACTTTGACATATTATCATTCCACTAAGTTATGGTGAACACTTGAGCAAACATTTGCCTATCCATTGAGCCAAATTATCTTTAATTTTAGATTTTTTTCCTGATGAATGTAAATTCAATGATCATTCTTTTGTTTTTGTTTTTTTAGCTCTTTTCTTTGTCTCCCATGGAAAGTGTTTGGCTCTTGAGATGCTAAATGCTTCACTATGTTCACCAGCTGGTTGCTAATTTCGTCTTTGTCATTAGGTTTCTTCAAGCTTTTTAGGTGGAAACAGCTGCCTGCTGTGGCTGAAAACAAACCTGATGAAAGCAGTGAGACCAGACCAACGAATTAAAGTCGGGGAGGGCCAGAAACAGTGAGCTGATAGATGCAGAAAACACCCCTCAGAGCTGAAGATGTCTGCAGTGCCGGGTGATAATTGCCTGTCTAAACTCTGACCAAACCGTTCAGTCTGTCACAGGTGGACTCCAGCTGACACATCTCCAGGGTTATTAAAGAAATCAGAATGCACTTGACCGCAATTTGGTGCCGCCGCAAAGGACCTGAACACTTTGCTAAATGAGAGATTTCTGGTTTTGATTTGAATACATTTGCCAAAATGTTCCGTTTGCCGTTATGGGTTATTGAGAGTGGATTGACGGGGGAACAGGAAAGGTCTGAGACAGTGTGTTTCTTAACATTAGCCGCTGTAAGGCTTAGTAGCTCGGCTTTGCAGTGAATGCGTATCTGTCAGTGCAGAGTACAAGATTTAAAAAAATTCTTACAATCCTCTCCTCTGTCTCTCTGTTTTTGCCTCCCTCTCCCTGTTGTTTCCTCAATCCACCCCCCCCTTCCTCCTCTTCTTTTACAGGCCAAGTCATGTATCTGCCACATGTGCGGCGCCCACCTCAACAGACTCCACTCCTGCCTCTACTGCGTCTACTTCGCCTGCTTTGCCAAAAAACATATCCACGAACATGCCAAGAGCAAAAGGCATAACCTAGGTATGACACGCACGCACTCACTGTCCGAACAAATCAGATCAAGCTTATTTATTTATATAGAACTTCTTTTTTTAAAGCGACCAGAGCTGACCGAGGCGCTGCACGCATCATAAGATAGGCAACAACAAAAATACGTGCAAAAAAAAAAAAGGAGGCTGTAAACAGGGTACACATTTGTGATGTAAAAGACTAAAATATAAGAGCAACCAAAAGCACTGCAAGATTTTTCTTTTTGTCCCTACACGCGATCATTCAACTGAAAGAAAAAGGTTGTCCTAAAGCATTGCTTGCTCAGCGATTTCTGTCATGAAACAGTTAAAAGCAGCTGTTCTAAGAGGCCTCGAGATCAAGAAGTTCTGAAATATACCCTGGTGCTAACATGTGCATGGCTTTATAAATACATAAAAGAACCTTAAAGTCAATTCTGCTAGCCAGTGCAGCGATGCCAGTATTGCTTTAATGCTTTCCATTGTTGGGAACCAGCTCAGGCTGCACAATATATACGTCAAATTAACTCAAACACTTGCTGCTAACTTTTTTTGTCCTGCTGATTACACATTTACAGAAGAAGTCTGTCTGATGGAACATCATTTCCTCAGATTTTGGTGTGAGTTTTATTTCAGAGTTTGTTGACACGCTGGCTCCACATGTGCAAAATGAGCGAGAGTCGTGAGAGAAACACTAAAAAGGAAGTTTTGGCTTCGAAAAGCAACACAACATCAGTTGCATGGAAATATTCTGGCGACAGAAATGATGTTGACGACAAACAGGTACTTTGCCAGCAGTGTCTCACAACTGTTGCCACTATGCAAAGCAACACGACTAATTTGTTTGGCGATTTAAATCAGCGTCACAAAGCTTTGTAATGATGAGAACAAGTCAGATCTGAATGCCATCCAAAGCAAAAAAAAAACAACAATTTTGCATGCCTTTGTTAATGTTTCACCCTATGAGAAAGTTTTAAATGGCTTTTGTCAGGTTTGTTTGGGAAATGATTGTACATTTTCTATGCACATGCCCTACAAAGTCATTCTAGAATGATCAGTTATTTCCAAATAGAGTTTCAAATTGAAGTAAACTGTCTTATTTTTTCATATCACAGACACACTAATGCGGTCATAACAGCCTTCATGTCATTTAGAAAAAGGATGGATTTCAATTTGTCAATGTTTCTCAATTGGAAGTAGCAACCTTTCACCACAAAGTTAGTGTTTGTCAAATGTTATTGCCGCGTCAAAGCTTACACTAAGATTCCTGAAATGGATGCATTAGGATTATGTGTAAATGGCTTTAACTGACTAGTTATGCTCCTTGGGATGTTGAGCGAATCAAAAACAATTACACTTGTCTTAATTTTATTTAGCTGCAGACTGTTTTTTATTTATTTTTTCCATCCAGCAGTTTACCACTTGGAGGCAGTTAAGGATGAATGTATTAAAGGTGAAACCCTCCAGATTTAGTAGCAGCTAGACTTGTCCTCAGCATAACAGTGCAAGTAGATGTTATGTCTGCAGAGGATGAAGCCTAAAGAGAACATACGAGTGTATAAAGCAAATAAAATGGGCCCTAAAATGGAACCTTGAGGTGCTCCACAAGTGATTGGGTCAGAGGGAGGAGAAACTCCTAATCATAACAGAACATCGTCTGTCCATTAAATACAACAAACCACTTGAGAACAGTGCGCTGGATGTGTTTTGAAGCTTCTGTTATGTATGTTGTGTAACACCAGAGCTACAGTTTGTACTCCTTTGCTTAAATAGCTCGATCCTTGTCTTATCTGGTATATGCATCATGCACACAAATACATGCCACAGCGCACCACTGTTGATAATGCTTCTAAAAAGTGTTGCTTGAAGGAGTAATTATACAGCTAGTTGCTAATGAAGATGTCACGTAGTGTTACTGTGTGAAGCACTCGTGTTTCATAAAAACCACAGTGTGCATGTGTCTATATTGAAGATCAGCCTTATGTTAGCTATATATTGGGCTTTTTCACAGGTCTGGCTGACATATTTGTGGTTTTGTGAAGCATTTTCCCCAAGCGAATGAGCTTTGAGCTATTACGCAATTTCATGCAACATAACTGCAACACAATCTACAAGGCTCAGCCTCAAGGGGGATTACATGGTCACCTGTGTATTTGGCCTCATGTAGCCCATTAGAGGAAATATATGCATTAGTGAACTTACTAATGAATAGGGACTGAGGTCTGTCTTGGTAGCTGATTAAAATTAAGCACATTTGCTATTGTACTTTCGCGGTTACACCTCCCTGCTTTACAATCAGCTTCCTTCAAAATCCTTCGAAACATTCGCCGGCATGCGTATTTATAGGGTCAAGAACAACAACGAGATTTGTCCCTGCCGTGTTGTGACAGGATTAATATTCCAGGTCAGACACGGTAATGCAAAATATTGCACCTCATCGCTTTCAGGGATAATGTGCGTTGGACTCGTTAAAATATTCTTCTTGAAAAGTAACCGAGAGGGCTTCTGTTTTCAGGAACCGATCCAATCACACTGTGTTTCTCACCACGACTCGCACGGAGGCTGCTTTGTTGGCACGCGTTCACAGTAAGAAACGGGGAAGTTGTATTACAATTCACTGAATTAAATATTTGCATCAAACACACACAATCTGGATGGCTCCAGATTTGAATAAAGACGTGGGTGTTTGCTGAACACCAGGAACAGTTGGCTGTTTTTCCCCATCCCTGCTACTCCCACAGGGACACACGGCCTGTAATAATCAAAACATTGCTCACAAATCACTGAATTATTGCAGAGAGAATTGGTGAATATTACCTTAACTCAGGCAGTAAAACCAGCTGCTGAAGAACCTAATGTACTATGTGCAAAGGATGGACAATATTCATATCCAGATGGCTGATAAATAAAAGGAAACAACATTAAGCATCTTGTCCATCCAATCTGAGCCTCTAAAACAGCTCCAATAGTCCTTATTGTTAATTCTCCAAGTCTCAGCGGTTGTATTTATGGAATACACATCATTCTTTGCAAAAAGATTCCCTCAAATCGGGTTTTATTTTTGGCAGGAGAGAGCTCGGTCGAATGCGCTAGTCTAATATAGCACAGCACTACGCTGCAGCTAGCATTTGTTTTATTGGCAATTAATCCGGTGATTGTTTTCTCAATTAATAGTTTTGTGGTTTATAAAAATGGCAGACAATGATGGTTCCCAAAATCCGAGATAACTGTAAATGTCACACATCATGAAAATTATTCCGTTTACGATCATAGAGGAAAAAAGAAACCAGAAAATACTGGAATAAATGGAATAAGAGGATTGTGAGTTTTGTTTTTACTCTGATCAATTAAATGATCATCAAAAAATAGTTAAGAAAAACGAATTGAGTCATTGTTGCAGCACTAATTGTCACAAGATTCTTCCTGAATGTAAATTTTAAAATCTAAATCTCCTTTAAGTTTACTTGGAGTCACTTATTTTGACAGTAGAGTTTCTTATGATCATCACAATAAGATTCTGCTAGAAGTCAATAAAGCATAATCCATCCATCTATCTATTATCTATACACCCATCTATACATCTTAATCCTCACTAGGGTTGTGGGGGGTTGGAGTCTATCCCAGCTGACTTAAGGCGAAGGCAGGGGACACCCTGGACAGGTCACCAGTCTATCACAGGGCTACACTTAGAGACAGACAACCAAGCACACTCACATTCACACCTACGGACAATTTAGAATCACCAATTAACCTCAACATGTTTTTGGACTGTGGGAGGAAGCCAGAGAACCCACGCTGCACGGGGAGAACATGCAAACTCCACACAGAAAGATCCCAGGTGTCCTCACCAGGGCGTGGACCGGTGACCTTTTAGCTGCGAGGCGGCGATGCTAAACACCGAGCCACCTTGCAGCCCCAATAAAGCATAATATGGAATAGAATAGTTCTTTATTGTCACTGTGGAAACAATGCTAAAAAGACACTGTTACAGCAGTGAAATGTTGTTGTAGCATCCTCTGGCAGCAATACACAAGTAAACAAATAATAAATAAAAAATAACATGAAAGGAAAGATAAATATATATAGAAAGTATAAAATATTAAAGCAAAGACTAGGAAGAAGAGGAGGCATTTACAGCAAAGACTACAGTATTTACAGCAGACGATATTTACAACAAGATATATATACATATGTATATATAATATAAAATATATGGCCAGCCAATCTATTATTTTGGTTAAATTGTTTTGGCTAAATGTGTTACTCACAGATACACATAGCAGTTCTAATTCAGAGTAAGACTATATGCAGTGAACTATGTATATATCCATATTTTTTAGGCTTGCACAAATTACTGTAAGCATCTATTTTTATAGATGGATTATAGAATAATTAGCTCAATAATCAGGCTGCTGATTACTGAGAAATTAGTCAGAATTTACTTTGATCATCAATTAATTGATTTAGTTCAGCAGCACATCGACTGATTTTCAGGTTTAGGACTATTAACTGTATAATACAAGCAGGAAAATCACAATTTTCACAAATGTTTAAGATTTTAAACACTTTTCTTGTTTAATTAAGAAAATAATAGGCTGGTTAATTGATCAGTAAAAAAAAAAATCATTGTATCTTTGTATTATTGCACTATATAGTTGTCACACTTGTAGGTACAGGCGCTATCAAATCACGAGATGTGACACCGAACGCCAGCAGTTGGACGCACTTCTTACGCTCCGGCGTTGGTTGGTTGGCGGTTTGGGTCTTGGGAGATCTTTTCATCCGTGCTTTTGCGCTCGTGAAGAATCCTTTCATCCACTCTCAGCCCCACTGTGCTCTGTGAGCATCCCTGCAGCGGGGGCACCACGCGTTGATCATGCGAAAGCCTGGGGGCACCGTGCATTCATAAATTTAAACATGCTGTAGGTGGCAGCCATGTGCACTGCTGGGGAGCAACACGCTTCGACTGGAGCAAAGTGACACAGCCATGGCAGGAGCGCTCAGCTCTGAGACTCTGGGACATTGTTTCGGAGGCTGCAGTTGCCGGGGATATAATATGCCGTCACATTTGTACAACCTTTTATTGTATAAAATATTAGTGAAGAAAATAACAAGGACAGACTTAGGAGGCAGCGTTCAAAAACAGCATATTATCTTCAACACAACACATCATCCTGTTAGTCTGAAAGCGACGATGCCAGCTCTACACCCAGTAGCTTTCTTTTTTTTTTTTATTCTCCACATAATAGAATTAGGCTGTTTGAGCTCCAAGTGAAGTACATTACACTGCAGCGTTTGGAGGAGAGCGCTGCTGCAGCAAAGGCACTCGGGGTGTCAATGACAAAGGCTGGGTTTGGCAGATGTTGAGAATCTGCGGTTTGGTTTTTTATGAAGCCTCCTTTACTCTGCGTTATCACTCAACTCAGGGAGACCCCCTGTGGTGTGTGTGCGTGCGTGTGTGTGCGTGCGTGTTTGTGTGTGTGTGTGTGTGTGTGTGTGAGAGAGAGAGATCCCACAGAGTGTAATTGTGAGTTTAATTAGGTTAGCTGCCAAATTAAATGCTGCAAAAAATAGAGTAAGAAACAGTCTGATACACAGGGAGAGAAAAGGATATTTTTTTTTTTTCAAAAAAGGGACAGATCTCAGCAGACTGGCGAGGAGGTAATTAAGTCGTCTTTACCAAACCCTGTGGAATTAGCCTCCATTAAACCCCCGGCCCCTCCTCCTCCTCTTCCTCCTCCTCCTCCCTCCTGTTTCTCCTCGTCCTTTCTTTTTTTTTTGTTTTTTTTTTGCCATTTCATCTCTTTCATCTGCCCGTTTTTATGCATTTTCACTCAACCATTTGCCGTATTGCTTGTACCAGGCTCATATCTCTCGCTCTCTGTCCTCTCCTCTTTTGCCCTCCCCTTGTTCCCATGGTTACCTGATGACCCTTTCGATATTCAGAATTGTTAAAGGATTTCGTCTAATTGCACTCGTACCAGCAGCCTCGCCTCTCCTCACCGTCTTTCCTTTTCATGTTACTCTTTATCTCTCGTCGATTCGAGTGGAGCTCTTCCTTCCCTGCCTCCTTTCCTTTCCTCCATCCTTTTGCTCCATTCTCTATATACCTGCAGAGGAAGACTGCCAAGGCCAACAGGCGGGTTGTTATGGCAACAGCAAACAGGTAACCGCAGCGTACAGAGCAGGTGAGGAAAGACGGGGAGTGGAAGAAGCTTTTTGGACTGCGCCTGAACATTTAAGTGAGTGTGTGACAGGGAGAGATTGCACAGATAGGCGCCTCCCTCCCTCCCTCCCTCCCTCCTTCCTCCCTCCTCACCTCCTGACTCCTCATTGCTCTTTCCATCTCTTGGGGTGTCTCTCCTGTCGTCTCTGGATGGTGTAAACAGATCGCTGATATGTCAGCAGATAATCCCAGCTACCTGGCATCGCAGCTCCATGGCAACATGACCTGAATAGAAAAAGACAGAGATGAAGCAGTTAGCGGTTCACACAGCTCGCAGCGACACACGGCCCTTTATTACCTCCTGACAGTCCGATAAACCGGGTGTCCCTGCATTTCAATAAAATGGCTTCCTCGCAAATTGTTTCTGCCCCTCATTCTCTCCTTTCTCTTTGTCCGACTCTCCAGCTATTGACCTGCTGTACGGGGGAATTTACTGCTTTATGTGCCAAGACTACATTTATGACAAAGAGATGGAACAGATTGCCAAAGAGGAACAAAGGAAAGCCTGGAAGATGCAAGGTAAGGCAGCGTTAAACGCACAGTCCTGCACATAGCGTGGCACATACACAACATGCCAAGTGATGACATAAGCCCCGATAGTACGGTTCTCGTAAAAGTTCACAAAAATGTGCAAACTTGGACTTTCTAGAGCTGTGGTCCCATACACGAGCCCAAGCAGAACAGTCAGTGAATCTGTAATGTTTAACGTGCCTCGCCAGTAACCTCGATGGAGCTGAATTTTAGTGTGAACTTCCATACTACTACAAAACAGGCCCACTGTTAAAAAGTGTAGCTTCAAAATACTACTGTCTTTTTGGTTTAGGGCCAAACATCCATTCCTGATCCGGTCAACTGGGAGAGGTCTGCTTACTGTCTCTGAATTATTTATGTAGTCCTATATCACGAAAATGCGTTACAATCTGTACAGGATGCAACATCCTTCGTCCTTTGACCCTTTGACTCAGATAGAGAAACTGTCCCACCCCAAAAAAATAGTCTTATCATTAAAAAAAAACAAAAAAAACAGCAAGAAACCTAAGAAAGAGCAACAGAGGAGGGTCCCTCTTTCACAAGGACTGATAGAAGTCCTGTGCACAGAAAAGCAACCTACTAGAGGTAAAGTACGGGCAATCAGGAAAAGAAAATGTTACCTTTTAAAACTTTCTGTTTGTCATTACGACTCATCTAATCGACCGTTAATATTGCAACAGAGAATTAAAGAATATTGCATCAACAACAGCAAACAAAAACTGAGAAAAACACCACTGGGGAGGTGATAAAATAACTATTAAAGCGTGCCAAATCAAAAGTAATTACAACATATAAAACCGAATATTGTGTTCAGCATCCAGTCAAAGGCAGTGGAGAACAGGTTTTCTATGAATGAAACCCATCTTCACATTTCAGGCAGCTTATTCCCGTACCAGGCAGTGTGATGACTTAAAAACTACTTCTTCATGCTGGATTTTAACAAGAGGGACAACTAATACACTGGGTTCACACAGAATTAGCAATTAGACTGATTTAAAAACAAGTACGAAAGCCGCTGCCAGGTTTTACACGTGTTCGTGACGCGTTTGGCTCGTCTGGCCTCACAGCAGCATTCTGGATTAGTTCGAAAAGTTTACTTGGTGAGAACGGGACGTTAAAGTAGTCCAATCGGCAGAAAACAGCATCATGAATCATCTTTTGTGGGTCATGTCGAGACAACAGGTCTCTAATTTAGGTAATATTAGGTGTTAAAGCTGCCGTCATTAGAGTGAAGCTCCAGGTGAATGTAAGTTTCATCAGCGTGACTTTGACATTATAGCTACAAACTGTGCAACCTAAACAGATAGTAGAGGGTTTTTTCCCCATAAATTAATCGTTTTATTCAGTTCACCTTATTTTACCTTCTATTTTATTTGCAGCACTTTCCTCAGCCTGTTTATTTGTCTTTTTATTTTGCATTGTGTCCCCTTTTTATCTCATCATAATGCTTTTCTGTCTGTTTTTGCTACTGTGAGGTGGTATTTAAATACATTCGCCAAATTTTCAAATGTGTGCTTGTGTGGGTGTTTGCATTTGTCTCAGGCATCGGGGAGAAGTACTCAACATGGGAGCCCACGAAGAGGGAGTTGGAGCTGCTTCGTCACAACCCCAAGAGAAGGAGAATCACCTCCAACTGTACAATCGGTGAGCGTCCCTGTCTCTCGCACGCAAGCTGGCACTCGAGCCGGTGGTTATCTAACTGACTGGGCCAGTCGCTCTGTCGCAGACGGGAGACACAGGAGGGAGGAAACGGTGGAAATGCACTGTGACGATGCGCTGGTTCCATGAAAACCAACAGAAGCAGAAACCACAACCTTTTCAGCCGTATCTCAGTGGTGATGTGGACATTTGAATATCTAACAAACAGAATCCCACTGTGTGTTCAGAGGCCGCCACCACCACCTCTCTCTGTTGGCTGCTTGGGCTCATATCATTTGTCATTCAAATGTGTGTGCTGAGTAATGGCTTTCTGGATCCTTTTATTGTCTTTGGCCAGTGCCATGCCAGCTGCTTTCCTAAACTTTTGGTCTTTTTGCTAAACCAAGATCGCAATCTTTCCATGTTTAGCCTGCAGACCTTAGACTGTATATAAACTACAATCGCCCAGTGTTTTTGAGCAGCAGTTTTGAAGCTCAGTGTCGCTATCTTATCATTACTCCGCCCAACTTCCAGTAAATGAAAAAATAAGCAAAGAGGTGTAGCTGAGGCACACCATGCAAACATTTGACAGCACACACTTGCTGCTCAAAGCAGCCGCGCCCTTAATCACGCATATCTTCGGGTCCTAATGCAATATAAATGGGTGAGTTATATAGAAATTCACCCTTTGTGCAGTTATTATGAACAGGGAATTGGTTGTAGAGGCCAAGAGGCTGCAAGCATGCTTATAACATGAAGTTCCATGGGGGGGGGTGACTCACTTGAAGCCGGCCTCAAGTGGACTTTTTGAGGAACTGCAGTTGCTTGTGACACTCCACACAGTGTTGGCTTCATTTTTCAGCCCAGGAGCTTGCTGCTTGGTGCAGACATCAGTGCTTTATTGATCTTCTTCTTAGACTTTCTGCAAGAAAGCAAATAATCAGACTTCCCAAAAAATTCAGTGAGTTTCAAATCAGTGTAAACCTCACAGTAAGCTTGCAATTAGCAGCAAATATTTAGTGTAATTAAAATTTAAAAAAAAAAAAAGAAAAGAAAATGTGACGACTTTCTTCACATTTTTTTTTTTACAGTAAAACTGTGAATCTCGTGTCGTTGCGTCTTGCTCTGTTGGTTAAAAAAAAAAGAAAAACAACGCCTGGGTCGTGGTAATTTCCACTATTATCTGACAGTCAATGTCTGATTAATGCAAAAAGAAAGTCAACAATGAAACGCCTGAGCCCAGAAGCCGTGCACAGGTGGATAAATATCGTGTAAGAGGTAATATTTATTCCGGTAACAAAACATATTTATATATGTAGCAATAGGGAATATTAGAGCGGAGCGGCGGAGGGATCAGGCAGTGTGTGGGAGTGAGGAGAGCTGGCATACGTTTAACACCTTGTAGCAGCCTGCGGGGATCTGCTCTAGCGCCATTAACATCCCTGGCACTGTCTTGGATGGGAGAAATTACAGGCCTGGCTGCTCTTCTGTGGAACACTACCTCCTTCCTTCCTTACTCCTCATCCTAAGTCCCCCCTGTTTCCTCCTTTCCACCTTCTCTCGTCCTCCCTCCCTCCCTCCTCTGTGTCGGTGTGTGGTTGGCTCTGCTGTAATCTGACAAGGGTTTCCCTGCATGCAGTCCAACGCTGCCTCAGGGATGTTACGGTATTAGTGTGCGTGTTTGTGTGTGAGTGTGTGTTAGTTGTCTACCATTAACAGCATTGCAGCTTAGTTGCCCCACTGCAGCAGCCAAGAAAAATTATCTGGCTCCCTCTCTGTCCTCCCCTTTTCTTCACGCCTCCCTCTCTCCTCCACCCAGTCTATGTCTTTTAATATTCTTTGTTCTTGACTGCTTTTAATGTCTTTCTCCCCCCCCCCTCCTCTGTCTTCCCTTCTATTCTCAGGGTTGCGTGGTCTGATAAACCTGGGCAACACATGCTTTATGAACTGCATCGTCCAGGCTTTGACGCACACTCCGCTGCTGCGAGACTTCTTCCTGTCCGACCGACACAAATGCGAGATGCAGAGCAACTCCTGCTTGGTTTGTGAGATGTCGCAACTGTTTCAGGAGGTAACTATGAGCTGTCGTTTTGAACAAATGGGCAGAAGAAGAAGGTTTAGAAGTTTTCTCTCACACTCGCCTTCCTTCCACAGTTCTACTCAGGCCACCGCTCGCCTCACATCCCGTTCCGCCTCCTCCACCTGGTGTGGACGCACGCCCGCCACCTGGCCGGCTACGAGCAGCAGGACGCCCACGAGTTCCTCATCGCAGCGCTGGACGTCCTGCACAGACACTGCAAAGGTGAGGTCAGACACACACGGACACAATTTTATATAACTAGAATAAAAGCAGCGAAACTGAGAGAGACGCAAGAAAGAGAGGAGGAGAGCTGGTTGGAGCGAGGGATGAGTTAAGAGAGATGAGAGAGATGAACAGACTGACAGAGGCGCAGTACTCTCTGTCTCTCTCTCGCCGGTTTATAAGCAGAGTGGGTGTCTGTGAAGTTACACAGCATTGCTTTTAGTGACAGTGTGTGTGTTTATATCCACACAGACGACAACGGGAAGAAAGCCAACAACCCGAACCACTGTAACTGCATCATCGACCAAATCTTCACAGGGGGCCTGCAGTCTGACGTCACCTGTCAAGTCTGCCAGTAAGTGTGTGTGTGTGTGTGTGCGCGCAGGAAAACAAAACGCACCCTGAAACATCATTTATGCTTCACCAGAGACTGTGTAAAGAGATTAGACTCTAATACAACAAAGCCGCGGCTTTTGCAGACTGCTGCGCTGTCTTTACCGAACAGTTCCACCATGCAGTCAAACGGCATCAAAAGTCTCTAAAACAGGGGCTCGCACGTTTGGGTTTCACACCTCAGCAATCTCGCCTCTTGTGCACTTTGGAGGAGGAGGAGGGAGGGGAGGGGAAGGGAGGGGAGGGAGGGTGACGTCATGCGTTACCAAACTGCATGCGGTGAAAACTTGAGGAAAGTTGTGAAGCAGCAGCGCCAGCCCAGCCAATCAAATCGCATCTCAGTTTGAGTCTCTGCGATGTACGCCACGTCAATCAAACAATCCTCGGACGCGTCCTCAACAAGTAGTAATGTGCCTAATTCCCTCTGTTGAGGTGACCCCCCCCCTCCAACGCCACCCCCGCCCCTCTGCGTCCCCGTCCTCTATCTACCACATATTGCGCCATCAATCACACACACTGAGCTGCTACACTGCAGCAACAGGAAAAGCCTTTCCTGGCAGGCCGTCTGTAACGCTGATCTCTAGTTCCACCTGGTGGTTTGTTGAGACTATTGGAGCTTTGTGATTTGACAGACAAATTGAAAAAAAAACAAAAAGCTATAAAGTGCAGCTCAAGTGCTCCTTGGCATCGATTCTACAAGTCTCTACTGAGGGGAAGAACACTGTTCCACCAAAATAAATCCTCTCATTCGCTGTTTTGATGATGGTGGTGGAGAGGGCGTCAAGATTTACATTATTCTGTCAATCATATGTACACTCACCTAAATACACATTTGCTAAAATAACAGAGATTCTTAAAGAATGTGCAGCTACAATCTCTGTATATTTTTCCCCTGATTTACTAAGATGTTAATGCTCGAGCGCTGCACTGACCCCCGGACAGGCCTCCAGACGTGGGCGTGGAGATGGTATTAATATATCTGATGAGTCACTAGAACACTGAGGTAAATACAGTCCAGTGTTCAATGTAAAGACCTTTATTGATTTTCACCGTCAGACAATTGCTGTGAGGTTTATTTCAGGTGTAATGAAGGTAAAGCTCTCTGCCCCTGTTTACTTTTACTTAATTTATTATTTACTTAACCTATTATTCAGCTCCTCACTCTTATTTTGCCAAGACTTTAGTTACACATAATGTAGCTGCCTGTATGTTTTTGCAGTGCCTCTGCTCTTTCATGTCAGTTCGATTTCTTTCCCCACTAGAAGTGTCCTTGTGGGTGCCATAAATCATATCAGTGCTGTACGATACTGATGATTTTTCCACTTTCACATACTGGATGACCTTTGCAAGTCCAGTAGAATACATAATCAACCTCTATCTTGAGCACATGTAAAAACATAAACAATTTGTGTCAGTGTCACTACTGCGCAGGCTCTGCTTGCAAATAATGTAAATCGCGCAAGACGGCAGTTCAATTCTGTCGTAACGTCTATCAATTCAGCTGTATTACATATTGGCTCGATCCCACCTTACCGCAAACGCAATGATTAAAAAGAAGCACCTCGCAGACGCACAAAAAAAGAGATCAATTTGCTCGACAAGAGTAAACCTGGCTCTGAGAACTCCCAGCAGCTGATAGCGTTGTCTAGTGTGACAGCGTGCTATTCCCATCACAGTATAATTTACTTCCCTGACGTCTCACAAGCAGGTAATTGCATTGAGTGTAACAGTCAGTGAGTTATGGTGCCAAATCAACAGTCAGTGCTTTGCGTCTACATTCAGCTAAAATTGTTGAAATAATGTCTGAAATGGGTTTGTCATTTACATCTGGGGAGAAACTCACTGTTAAAGTGTTGTTTTCCTATTTTCTGCAGCCATCAATACACTCACTCATTAGTTAGGCCTGATGTTGAAGCTCAAACACTCTGACCTCAAATCTTTTTTTTTTTGCTCACTGTTCCTCACTGCACCTCTATGGAAACAGCACAACCATGACTAGAAGAAGAGGGAACTCAAAATGTCTTAATTAGGAAAACAAAACCTTGTCAATTAGCTGTTCCCTTTAAAAACACAGCCTGCAGTTCAGCTGAGTTTAGAACTTTTATCCATAACATTGGGTTTACGAAACAGGGATTAGTTTTGCATTGTGCAACAGAGCTCTGGATTTATTCATTTTAAGCCTAGCTTTGTGAAACTGTAACTAGAATTAATCTAAGGTTAAAAATAATCATTGTGGGTGCAACCTGACATACAGTCGTCCTCAAATGTGTTCATACCCTTCCATTAAAGAAAAGGCAAAATTCACAATAGTCACTCAAATAACTAGAAACTGAAAAAAGCAATAATAAATATACATTTGTTCAATTATTATATAGTGAAATAAGACATTGCTTTTGAATAGTGGTTGAAAAGAATAGTTTAAAAAACAAACAAAACAGGCAAATTAGAGCACTTTGCTGATGAGCAGTGGGCCAAAATCCAAATAGCTGTCAACAGGTGCAGAAGTCTGATTGAGAGTTACAGAAAACACTCGATTGCAGTGATTGGCTCAAAGAGTTGTTCAACAGAATATTAGTTTACGGGTCCCATCATGCTTGTTTTTTTGTATATAATATTTCTGTTGAACCACAATTCAAAGCAATGTCATGATTTTCATAAAGTTTTTATTTTTTATTACTTTTGTCGATTTCAACTTATTTCAGTGACTGTTGTTTTTTTCCTTCTTTAATGGGACGGTATGAATACATTTGAGGAATTTAAGTGCACCTGATGTAGGGAACAGATGGGAAGATTTACTAATCAACACACAGCAAGTCTTTGAAACAATAATAGAATTTTGCATCACTGATAGTCTCTCAGAGTTGTAGGAACTGGTGAGTATAGCGTTTCATAATCATAAAGAAGGAACCTGGACTTTAAAATACTCCAGCCGTAACTTTATTAGGTCAATGTGCTACATCATTTTCACCTCCTCTCTCCCCAGTGGTGTTTCAACAACCATAGACCCGTTCTGGGACATCAGCCTGGACCTCCCAGGCTCCTCCACACCATTCTGGCCCCTCAGCCCCGGAGGAGACGGATCAGCACTTAACGGAGAAAGTCACACCACTGGAGCCACGACGCTCACAGACTGTCTGCGCAGGTAACAAATGTTGGTTGAGAATATCTGCTGAGAATTTTCTTTCCTGCTATGTAGTCCGAAAACAAAAAGCATACAATAGCTGTTTGTTTATTTGTTTGTTTTTCAAAACAAACATGCACCGCTAAGTCACAAACTTCCTAGAATCACCACACTCAAGTCCTAAGGGGGCCACAAGTAACAAACAAACCCTGAAACTAATCCTTGTCCTTCCCATATTCACTGGAGCAGAGACCTCAGGAAGCAGCAGCACTGATAGAAGTCCACACACACACACACACACACACACACACACACACACACACGCACGCACTAAATCGCTTCTTCTGCCACATAGGTTCACCAGACCAGAGCACCTCGGCAGCAGCGCCAAGATCAAGTGCAGCGGTTGCCATAGTTACCAGGAGTCCACCAAGCAGCTGACCATGAAGAAGCTGCCCATCGTGGCCTGCTTTCACCTCAAAGTAAGATGTTTGGCTGCTCATTTTTTGGGGATGCTGTGGATAAGCAGAGACGTGTTCTAACACTCGTCGTGTGTGTGTGTGTTTTCAGAGGTTTGAGCATTCGGCCAAACTACGGCGGAAGATCACTACTTATGTCTCCTTTCCACTGGAGCTGGACATGACTCCCTTCATGGCCTCGAGGTGAGCACTGCGCAAAAGAAGAAGAAACCGAGTCAGAGGATGAAAAGAAGAAGAAAGATAATGACCGTCTATGTTGCAGAAAACATGTTTCACAGTCTTGGATGTAGCACCAAAGTCTGTTCAATTAACACGAATATCAAGAGTATTTGCTGCTCACAAAATGTTACAAGCATCAACTTTTTTTCAAACGGGTTTTAATTCCTAAGCAGATGTTTATCCTTAATTAACCACTGTACAGATTGATGGTTGTACCAGAGTGTGTACGATGTCTCTGTTTTGGGATTTCGCCTCAAGGGAGGAGAAAAACAAAAAAGACCTGTCAGTCATCTCCAACAACTTTGATGCTTCGTATCTGTTCAAAGCGCATTTTCAGTTCATATCCTATTTGTTTACATCCCTGCTGAACATACACTCCGGTATGCCAATACAAACACAGGAATTAAACAAAAGACGAGGATCCTGAGCTGCACAAAACAGAACATCACATAGCGGCGAGTGTTTACTTTGTTTTTTTTCGGCCGCATTGGAACAAACAAGCCACTTTAAAAAGAAAAAAAACAACTTTTATTTGCTGACACCGAGAACAGTTGGTGTTGCTGGGACTGAGTCTGCTCCGCTCTGCTGTGTGTTTCAGTAAAGAAAGCCGGATGAATGGGCAGTACCAGCAGACTGTGGACCCCTTCAACAACGACAACAAGTAAGACAAACGGCTGCTTCCAACACGTCCAAAGCTCGTCTGACTCATCAGATGTGGATTGCCGCTATAAGCCTGCCGTTTCTCTTGTGCATTTCTTGCAGTTTTGTTCCCGTCTTTCTGCTATCTGTTTCAAAACCACTTTTACAATGACAGCAACTTCCGAGACTAATCCAAAGTAATCAGAGGGCTGTACTGTGAAGCAAGTTTGACATAGCCGGGCTTTCTTTGTGTAAGTCGGCTCGACAAAAACAAAAGCCCCAGCCAGAGATCACGGATATCACGAAGGCAGTTGTCAACTTTCTTTGTCAACTCAGGCTTTCTGCTTCAGACTCTGTGTGTTCACATAAAAATGAGACATTTAACGCATCATGTGACTCTTCTTCTGCACAAAACGATCGTGTGCAGCTGCTTCAGTCACGTTTTCTTGAGGAATATAAAAAAATGATGATGGTAAAAATCGCAGCTACTGCAAATGGTGCAAGACAGAAAAACTGGTTTAAAAAAAAAAAAGTTAAACATGTTAATATATGATATTTTACTGATGCAGCCATTTATTTTAGACTGACAGCTGCACGTTAAAGTTACACTTTAAACTTCATACATTTAAACATGATCTTGTACTGAAGTGCACTTAGGGCTGACACTGTCCCATAATGCAGGATATCACTTTAGGTTTTGGCCAAATCAAAGTGAAATTAATGTTATTGATTGAATATTCTCTGTAATAAATACCAGTAGAATAATCTGTGTTCTAATCTGTGTATCAGCTCCAGCAGCAGCAGTGTAAATGGACTTGACAGCAAGTCAGAGCCAAACATAAAAACATATTTATGTGATTTCTACATCACCAACTAAATCCCTGTCTGGTTCCCATGGCACCACGATATTTACAGTGTGTGATATTATAACTACACGGCTTCATTCAGTGATATTAGTAACGTGCAACTCAACAGGTTTACAGATGAAACACATTCCCTCAGCTCACAATCTGTATCGCTGAAAAACAAGTCAGTAGACAATTTGGTTAAAGGAGGCGCTCTTTCCTGCTGATTTAAATCCAAAACTCTGAACATAACCTGCTCCCGACCAGGTTAGCTCCACAGCATCAGTTGCCATGGAGATCTAGCCGGATAAAACAAGAGCCATCTTTGTGACACTGAAAACTCTGGCTTTATACTCAGCATACCTCAATAACCCACTAATCTCCATTCGTAGTTCAGCCCTCTGGTCCTATTAATGATCCTCCTGTAAACAGAGCTGGCAGATTGGATTTGGGCTCTTGTGCAGCAAACACTTTGTTGACATGAACAAAGCCTGTTGGTTGGTGTACAGCTTCCTCCTCCCCACATTCATTCTACTCCTGCATTTCGTGCTTCCGTCTCTTCTCCCAGTTGCATTCATTTTACTGGAGAGAATCCACGACCTCATGTTTGGAATTAATTCTAATGAAATGCAGGTTATGAATTTATAAACTGCACAGATCAAACGTCTCCCTTCTGTAGCTGTTCGCTCACTTTCAAGCTGCAATTTAAAGAATTTGACATTAATGTAATGTCTAATCCTACATAACCTTGTCCAGGCACATATTGATCGCAAAAAAGTAAGTATCAATCATTTAGAGTAGCTGCTTACACCAAATGCATTATAGTGTTAGCCTAACTGCTCCTCTAGTCTCATTTGTCACCCCAGATCTGATGGATCAAGTTCATTCATTGAAACCAGGTTTCAGGGGATGCACCTACAATACATGGAAAAAGAATTGAGAGTTTACTAAAGTCTA